CAAATCAGAGAAGATCCAGATCAGTCATACAGTTCCTTGCTCTGTGTTACACATGTCCCTATACATCAAGGACGTGGTCCCTAGCATATGCCTTTCCTAGGAATCCCAAATCCAATTTCAGTTGGTTTGTGTCACAAGGGGAATGCCTCGAACCTATATCATCATCTTTTTTTTTTTTTGAGCATTGCACCATTTATTTGTTCTTTCAGTAATTGTTAAGTACCTACTGTGTACCAGACAGTAAGACTCTGTATAGTTTCTCCCCATTTTTCAAAGTAGCTAAATGCCACCAGAGGACAGAAGGGAGGTCCTCAGTAACTCAGGAGTCTTGGCTCCGCCCCTTCGGCTTTGGGCTTTTCCTGCTCCTTCCATCCCTACTTCACTTAGAGGTTGTTACAGGCCCATGAAGAACACAGAAACCAGTCTTCATCCACCACTTCTCCAGCCTAGGGCTTAATCCCTTTGGCTGAGAAGGCAAGGTCTAATGTTATACCTTTAGTCTGTTCTCCTTCAGTTTTGGGGTCCAACCGGAAGGCTTTCAGAGAGGATCCTCTAAATCTATATCTTCTTAACCAAAGGTATATAAAGACACATGGAACTTTGCAACATACCAAGCCTAATTATTTCAAATCAAGGAGTAGAAAAATCCAGAAAACATATTCAAAAGACTAATAGGTATTAAAACATACCCAGGAACAATAATTAAGACAGTATGGTATAAGGTGAAAGGTGTAGAACACAAAAACTAGAAACATGTGTACGTGTATCACAAGATGAAAGTTCCATTTCTAGCAATTATATTCTTCCACTTGTTCAACTATTTTTAAACTTTTAAACACCTTGACACACAGTTTACACACCATAAAATTCACCCATTTTAAATATACAATAGAATGATCTTTAGTAAACTTACTGAGTTGTACAATTTTAGAAGATTTTCATCATCTCAATAAAATCTCTCATGCCAGTTTACAGTCATTCCCTTTACCCAGTCCCCGGTAACCACTAAGCTGCTTTCTGTCTATATATATATTTGCCTTTTCCACACATTTAATGTAAACACAATCATACAGTATGTGGTACTAAGGCCTGACTTTTCTACATTATACCTAAAAATGTGCTCAACTAATTTTATTGGGCATCCACTATATGCCAGGTACTATACCATAAACTAGGCTACTGATGACCAAAAAGAGACATGAACCTTATGGTCTAGTGGGAAAAATAGTAACCAAACGATCATACAGGTAAATGTAATAATTCAACTAAGTTTCATGCAAAGCAAAGCATCTCAGACAGAAGGAATGAATGTGCCCAAGAGCAGGGAGAAGCATATTTACTCCAAGTGACTTGAGATGTTTGGCTGGAGTTCAGAAAGGGAAGCTAAGGCTGTGGAGAAAGGAGGGGCCATGTCATGTTGGGTCACATTGAGCTATATAAAGATTTTGGTATTTTGGCTTATTTTAAGACCAATGGTAAGTTACTGAAGTATTTTAAACTGGATTGTGAGAAGAAGGTAAGTGAGATAACAGGTTTGTTTAGAAAGACCCATTGTAGCTTCAGGGTAAAGACTGAATTAGAAAAGTGGACATAAACGCAGAGAAATGCTAGAAGGCTATAGTGCCAAGTGGGTCCTTTTGATGTCCCCACTGGTAGGGAAGATAGGTATTCTGTTTTCAGCTGTCATATGCCATCCTTCCTGGTGAATTCCACAAAGCCACATAGCATGGGCTAAGGAATGGGTTTTATGGGGGAGAAGTTAAAATATATAAGGTGAAGACTGTCAGAATAAAAGAAGGTACAGACTCTCCATTGCCACAGTCTGGCTGGGCACAATTCAGGAGCCACTTGTCAAAAGAAATGAACTTTATTTTTAGAACCACACTCCAAACAAAACAGCTCCTCAGGAAAAACCTTCAGAGCCCAACTGCCACCACCGGCTTCCCACAAGCCTCTCAACCTCCCCCACTCCTCCTGCTCTTGAGGCGATTGGCTGGGTCACATGGGAGGAGCCAAAAAAGTCCCCCAATGAGCAGCTCCGTAGTCTGAAAGGGCGGGGAAACAGCCCAATGAGCATCACCGCAGAGGAGCCAATCAGCTAGAAGTTGCTGGTGCCGCTGTGAGCCAACTGGGGCCCCTTCGGCTGTGGCTCTCAACACTCCATCCTCCTGCTAGCCCATGGGAAAGTAAGTTGAGGGTGAGAGTGGACTCTGTAGGGAGAATGTGTCTCCCTGCTCATCCTCCTTCTGATAGGAGAAGCATGAAGAAGCAGTCATAGCAACAGATGGTTTGGATTTGGACTGCCATTGGTTTACTGTTATTTGGGAATGCCAGTTGTCCCTAGAATGTTACAATCTTGCTGGGGAGATGGCATTGGTTCCATGGGAACCTGAGTTTGGGTGCTCCTTACTAGAATGGGGTTACTCCAGCCACAGCTGATTCATTCTGACCCAGAATGAACTGCCTGGGTCACACTCAGTCCTGCTCACCGCTCTACAAGGGCCACTGCAGAAGTCTAGGTTGGGATTATTACTTTTTCTGCAAAGGACCAGATAGAAAATAGTTTTGGTTTTGCCAGCCACATGCTGGTATTAGTTATGCTCTGCCATAACTTATCAATTCTGCTGTTTGCAGCCTGAAAGCAGCTATAAACAACATGTGAAAGATGTGCCTGTGTTCCAAAAAAAGCTGTATTTTTCAAAAATAGGCAATGTTCTGGACTTGGACACTCTATCTTAGGCTCCCATGAGGGGTCTCGGCTCTCTTCTTAAAAATGGTGCACAGGGCTGGGGATGTAGCTCAGTTGGTGGAGTGCTTGCCTCTCATGCACATGTACAAAGCACTGGATTCAATCCCAGCACCACAAAACAAAACAAAAGGTACACAATTGAAACCTCCCTCCCTTCATACTCTCTCCCTAATAATAGCATTTATTCCTCTGCTTTCAATTATAATCTACACATGAATCTCTCTGCTCGATCTCAGCCCCACAAATCCAAACACCTGTTGGTTATCCCCAGTCACCTTGTCCTCAAGTCAGTAAGTAAACTCATTTTCCAAAATGTGAAATGGCATCACAATCTGTCCTGTTGTTCAAGCCAGAAACCAGAGATTCCTGATAGACACTTTCCCTCCCCTTTACATTGCATCAACCAATCATTTTTCAGTCTTCATCCTCACCTGCATATCATGGCTTTCACTAGGAATCTGGCAATAATGACTGTTAGCATATTAATATTATTAATTTTTAAATAAGTAACCTTTTTACATTTTCAAAAAGTGAAGTCTTCCTTTACTACTGTCTCGTAGCCACCCAATTCATTATCCCAGATACAACCAATATTGTTTTTTTAAAAAAGTATATCTTCCAGGAATATTTTGAATATGTATATTTATATTTTCTAGCTCTCTCTTTTTTAAACCCAAATTGTGGCATACTATAGTTGTTCTGAATTGTTTTGTACCTGTGTGTGTATGTGAAATTTATCTTTTGAGAGCTTTCTTATTAATGCATAAAGAGCTTTTCTTTTTGTTCCAAGTCTATGGTTGAATAATACCCCTTTGTAAAAATGTCAACAATTGATTTAGCCAAATCCCTGTTTCCAATCATTTATCATTAAAGTAATGCAACATTGAATAACCTTTTGCCAAGTCATTTATAAGGTAAATTCCTAGCAATCCAATGGACATTTGTTAAGTTTTTGACAGATACATGGGCTTTTATGTTTTTATTTTTATTAAAATTATCCATACAAGCACATACAGAATTCTACAAAGTATGGTATTAAAAAAAAAAAAAAAACCCACACACAGAGGTACCTCTTTTAGTCTCTTTTTTTAAATTTAGCCCCTTGACTCTAGATAGCATTTGCTCTGTATATTTTCAGGTTTATTTATTTATTTTAAATTTGAAAATTTTAGTATTACCCAGACTCCCATCTATGAAGGATGAAGACTGGCTCTTTCCTCCCATTTTCCCTATACCCTCATATTTTTTTTTCTATTTCCCCCATCTTTCCAGTAGGGAGTTGTGTTATAATTTTGGCTAGATCATAATTACTGGGATTATGTGGGAACTCTCCACAAGTAAGCCATGTCATAACCTTTTATTATTTTTCCTTTCTGAGACATTGTCTCTTTTCTCTACTTTCAAATTTGTATTATCTAAATATCTTTATAATTTAAAAAAATTGGGGTTTTGGAGTCAAGAAACCTGAGTTTAAAACTAGGCTCCAAAACCTACCAGCAAGGTGATTTGGGGTAGCTTGGGTAATCTGCTTAGCAACTCAACCTCAGTCCAAAAGAGCTTAACAACAGACTCTTCTGTAGGGTTATTGGGAGGACTAATAGGGGCACAGACGTCAGCAGTTTCAAGGCTCACTGGCTTCAGCAGGGGCCATTCTATTCTTCTCAGTGCTCACCTTACTGTTTATGGGTTAAGAGTACAACCTCCCCGGTACCTGTTACTTGCACCACAAAATGGGAATAATCGTCAACTGTCTCCTTAGACAGTTAAGGATTAAAATAGTGTAAAATGATAAGCAGACTGCTGGCACATGGTACACACAACGAGTTGCCACTACACAATTATCTTTCAGTTCTTCCGACATGCCTCCTCTTTCTGCCTCTGCTTCTCCAACTCAGCTTTCAGGACTGGGTTCAAACATCACTTCCTTAGGGAGCTTTCCCCCAGATCCCAGGCCCTCTTTTTAGTGGGTCAGCATCATGTACTCTCCAGCACGTGCTCATCCCAAGCGGCCAACCGCCCATCTCTACAGTAACAACTTCGGCCCCTGCAGAACTTTTCCAAAGAACCCCGCTATGGCAATTTCTAAGGGCGCTCAGGCGGGCGGCACATCCTGGCGAGCTCTCCAGCATTTTCTTGAGTTGTGACGCTCCACGCCACGTGAAGCCACGAAACACCCCCCCCCCCCCGGAAGCGAGCGGGTCCTGCGCGTTCCCTTTCGACTCTCCACCCACTACGCCCAGGGTCTGTTCCCGCCTCTTTGGCTAGGCCCGAAAGGGGCGGAACGCGGTAGAAAAGCTGGTTAGGTTTCTCTTCCGGACGGAAAAGAGGAGCGTACTGAGCGTCGCGTCGCGGGAGCAGCTCTTTGCTCCGGTTTGGTTCCCCGCTCCCGCGACATGGCCTTCAATTTTGGGGCTCCCTCGGGCACCTCGGGCACCGCTGCAGCCACCGCGGCACCCGCGGGTAAGTTATCCCCCGGACCTTCTCGGAACTGGGGAAGCTTTTGGTCCATCCCCCGGGTCCGAGACGCAGGCTTGGAGATCCTGGGTCTCCCGACAGCGCAAAACACTTTAGGGGGGCAATGGAAAAGGGCGGGCGGCCGCGGGTCGGGTGGAGGCGGTTCCTGAGGAGGCCGCTGGGGTACTCGAGGCCCTATCTGGATCTCGCGCCCTGCGCTTGGATCCCCGCGGGGCTCCATCCTCCCGCGGATTGCTTCCCGCCCATGAGGAGTCCTACTCGTAGAGGTTGGAGACCGCTCCGATCTCCTCGTACCCGACACCCCCAGCTCCCCTCCGCATCAGCCTCCCGGCCAGGCGGGAATACACAGTGGTTCGGGCGAGTATAAGGTTGGGGAGCCCGGAGCTGCCCGGAGACTCCCTCGTCCTAGCCCTGGGGCGGAGTGGGGGGCGGTGCCTAAGCCCTTAGTGGTCTTCGCCGAGGGAATTCACGCTCCTGCTCCTTCCCTCTGTCCCCGTCTCCTCTGCTTTCTCAACCTATTTGAAGCGAAGTAGGTTTGTTCACTTCTGTGAAATCCCTTGCTGAATCTTGTAATCCTTATCTTACTTTCTTTTCTTTTTCTTCTTCTTCCCCTTCCCCCTTTTAAATTTTTGTTTCTTTGCCTGCACGCCTATCAGGATTTGGTGGGCTTGAGACTGCCAACTCCACCGCCAGTGGGTTTAATTTTGGGGGTTTCGGATTAACTGCTAATCCTGCAGTGAACTTTAATATTGGGAATTTCGGTGTTTCTACTACCTCGGCGACTCCGTTCAATTTTGGTAACAGTCTGGCAAGTGCAGGTAGATAACTGCGGGTCATAAATGAGTGTTGGGAGCTGGAGTCCAAGAATAATATTTCGTGGTTTCCAGAGTTTGGGAAAGAACAGTGACTTGTCTAATAAGGGAAGGAAATTTATTTCTTAATGAAAATCGAAAATAAAACATTTTTATCAAGTTGTGACTGTCTTAAATTATGTGGGTTTTGGAAGGCCTTGCAAGTTATAATGTTCCCTTGTTAAATCTGCATTTCATTGAACGAATAAAATAAGAATTTGGAATGAATTTTTATATCTTCCAAATTATTAGATGTATCTTTCAAATTGTAAGCTCACCAGACAGGCTGATTTTCCTGGAATTCTTGGACTCCTGCAGTCATTTTTCATTTTTTTTTTTTTTTTTTTGCATTTTTCATTGGGATATCATTTTATTGTTCTTGTGTTTCCAAGAGAAACAGTCTTATACGAACAGCAGTAAGTCTTGTTTTATAACCCTTTTAAAATAATGTACTTCTTTGGTCAACTCGTCAGATTAGGATATATTTCTATAAGACATATAATTATAGGAAAAATTATCCACATCTTTACTGGATTTTTAGGAAATTCTCAGAGAAATTTAACTTATTAAATAACATTTTGAGTTTTAAAAGGTGGACCAGATGTCTTTGCATTCAAAAAGATAATTATGAAGATTGTTTTATGGATTGTTTGAAGCTCATCAAAATTTTTTCAAGACACAATAATAGATACATGTCTGAATTTAAAATAGATTTATGTATACTTTACATACAGTGATACCATAGAAAAATCTTGTTTTTCAGCTGCTCGTATATGAATTTTTCATCCATTATGCCTTTTATGCCCATGCCAATTATATGCATTTTGTAAACTTTCTTTACTTCTTAAAACATGCTTGGAAAGTTATGTATTTTTGTTCATTCACTTGTTACTGAAATAAGACTATTACCTTAGCATCTGAAAACAGTTTGAGAAATAGTTTAAATTCCAAAGATAAAATAACCTGTTATCATTAAGATATATTTGAAGTGGACACTAATTACTGTTCTTTGGTATGTTTACTTTCCTGATTGCTTAAAATTGGCACTGGGTAAAACAAACCTTAATTTGAAGTTTGTGTTTCCAAGTAAAGCCACCCAGCTCATAATTCAACAACAATAAATAAACCTGTTGGTATTCGCTTGATTTAATGTTGATTTGGAGTTATCATGGTTAATTTTGAGTTTTGATAATAAAATGATGTTTCAGTGCCTTTCATATGTTGACTAATTTAGTTTTCAGCAAAGGACTGGTAGAAACTCTTGTTACTTTCTTATTTTGTGTCCATGCAGATCCACTAATTCAATAAAACATTTTTGGTATTGTGGAACATGATAAGTCACTAACTAGTGTTTTCAGTGTGTAGGCAATTTAGATTATATCATAAGTTATTCTGTGGAAGTGAGGAGTAATGAAAAGATTAAGAACAGTGTTTAATACTTTAAGTTTTTTTTTAATCATTTAGTTTGCAGTACTGCAATAAACCTACAAGTTAATAGAATATTTAGTTGTGCCTATACATGCAAAACATAGTCTACTCTGAGTAACTTTCCAAATCAGAATTAAACGGTGATATCAAATTGCTTTTTCTTCTTATATCTTTTATTTTGCAATATTGATGAATCAGTTTTATTACAAGAACATGAGATTAAAGTTAGCTCAGAAAACCTGTGTTATAACTTGGTATTAATATTTCACATATATACTTTGAAAGTTTTTTTGCCATCACATTGATAATCAGCAAAAAACTGGCAATAAGTAAAAACGAAATGATTTTAGATTGGCTCCTATTCCATTCCATTCATATGTTGTTAGATATGGTTAAGGTTAATTTTGTTATTAGACTACCTAAAGTAGAAATTTGTTGGAGTTTCCACATTGTAGTTCAGAGACTGGTGCTAGCTCTGCTCATCTTCCCTGCCACTGCTTCCATTTGTGTTTTTCCCCTTATTTCTTCCATTAAGAAACACATTCTTATATAGTAGTATGTTTCCTTTGAAAAGTTGCTTAGTCTTGACATGGACTTAAATAGAAATATAAGGTAATGTAGATATAAATTAATTCGCCAATTTCAGTCTCTCTCTCTCACTCTCTTTTTTTTTTTCTTGAGACTGGGTCTTGCTGTGTTATCCAAACTGGGCTCTAACTTGTAATCCTCCAGTCTCAGCCTCCCACAACACTATTTTTTAAAACATTTGAAATTGAATTAAGATTTAGAAATCTATAAATGAGGGCAGGGGTAGTTGTCTAGCATGATTAAGGCCCTGGGTTTGAGCCCCAGCAACACACACATACACAAAACCAAAAACTGTAAGTTCTGTGTAGAAAATTCAGATTTTCTGACTCTTGGGGGGAAATGGGAATAGTATTATGATCTACTAAACTACCATTCTTTTGCAACAGTAATCTGCTGGAATTTAGGAACTGCTGTCATTTTTAAAAACTTCATTTTAAACAGTTCAGAAAACATCTGGTCTACTTTACTCATTAATTTTATTGGTCTAAATCTTACAGACATTTGAATTTGCAATCCTACTCTAAAAGTACATGTAAGAGCCCGGCGCGGTAGCATACACCTATAATCCCAGCAGCTCAAGAGGCTGAGGCAGGAAGATCGTGAGTTCAAAGCCAGCCTCAGCAGCAGCAAGGTGCTGAGCAACTCAGTGAGATCCTGTCCCCAAATAAAATACAAAATAGGGTTGGGGATGTGGCTCAGTGGTGGAGTGACCCTGAGTTCAACTCCCGCTACCAAAAAACAAAAAAGGTACATGTAAGAGCCAGGCATGATGGCTCATAACTGTAATCTCAGCTACTCAGGAGGTTGAGGCAGGAGGATCTTGAGTTTGAGACTAGCCTGGTCAATATAGTGAGATCACATCTCAAAGTAATAATAACTAATAACTAATAATGAAAATGCGTAATAATCATTTTAGAGTTATGGCAGTAGGCTTATATGTTTTCTCAGCTGTGAAAGAATCACCTCTTTAGGTGGAAGATATTATATGTGATATTTCTATTTAAAATATTTAGCTGCTATTTCTTGTTATATATTGACTTCTTGGTTAGTAGTATAGTTTTAAAAAATTAATGTTGAAAGTAGAGGAAGGAAAATTTAGATCAATATATTTTGACTTTATGTGTAGCAATTACTTATGATATAATTTGAAAAATTGCCTTTATATGTAGAAAAGAATCTTTCTATTTTTATCCTTTTTTAATTAGGTGGGTTTGGAGGATTTGGTACAACATCTACAACTGCAGGTTCTGCGTTCAGCTTTTCTGCCCCAACTAACACAGGCACTACTGGTAAGAAGCCATCGGAAGACATTGTTAAAGTAAATGTGGTAGAGGACAACTTTTTTTTTTTAACCTATGCAATTCCAATTTTTATTTCTTCATTCAAAGGACTCTTTGGTGGTACTCAGAACAAAGGTTTTGGATTTGGTACTGGTTTTGGCACAACAACAGGAACTAGTACTGGTTTAGGTACTGGTTTGGGAACTGGACTGGGATTTGGAGGATTTAACACACAGCAGCAGCAACAGCAGCAAAATAGTAAGTATAAGGTTTTCATCTTCAACTATAAAGCCATAACAATAATAGCTAACATTATTGAATGTATCATTTAAAATGCTTTAGTGAATTATCTTCTTTTTTTTTTGAAGAATTATAAACATTCCAAGGAGACCAAAAGCTACTTTTTATGTTTGTATATGATAGCAACTGTGGAGAAAACTGATGGACATGATTAGGATAATAAGGTCCCTTGTATAGGATCATTCCATTAAATTCTTTTTGTTAAAAATAATACAGAAAACCACTCAAGAGTTCAGCTTACTGAAGTGTGCATAAGATGAACGCTGGAGAGATGACCCTGGCTACCCACTTCAGAAGTCCACCACCTTTTTTGTTCATAGTCAGAGGAACTATAGTCCTCTTTTATTATCATTTTCTTTTCTCATGTGTGTAATAGTATTGATTGCCTGTGTTAAATCTCTGTATCTTCTCCTTTTATTGCTCTTTATTATTTTTCAGTTTGTTGAAGACATCAGATTATTTGTCTTAGTTTTTTGTTTAGAAATTTATTGGGGTTGCATTTTTTTATTGGTGCATTATAATTATACATAATAGTGGGATTCATTATGCCATATTCGTACTTGCTTATAACATAATTTGATCAATCTCATTCCCCTGATTGCATTCTTGTAGTATGGTTTAACACATTCTTTTGTCCTCTATATTTCTTAGTAGTTGAGTTGGATCCAGGGGCTTTTTTATATTGATAGTTTAGATTTTTGTTTATAAGACTATTTCCTAGGTAGTGTATTCATCATCAGAAGGGCATATAATATCTGATTGTTTCTTTGTGTGTGATGTTAGCAGCCATTGGTGATCATTACCTAGATCCATTAATTCAGTAGGGGTTAAGAAACAGTGCTATTTCACCTTGATTTCTCTTCCATTTGTTTGTTGGAGTTATCTATAAAGAAAAACTTTATCTCATCTATTTGGTTGATTTTTTTTCCCTTTATTACTCTTTTCAGAATTGATTCCCTAACATTCTTCAAAGTTGACTATTTTTTGGTCAGGGACTCAAGCATTTTTTAATCCAATGCAGTTATTCTTATTGATGTTTAAATATTTCCATCTTTGACCTTTGCGCACCTCTTAGGTTAGCTCCCAAGTCTGTTTGATATAATCTCTGTAACTGGCTTAGACTGCATGGTCTTATGTATCAGTGACCCTTGTCAGTATGCTAAATTCCCTTAGCAATGTATCCCATTCGCCTGGGGGGCAGGGGGGAGTCCAAGCCTGTGTATTTGTCCAACCAAATAGTGCTTGAGAAAAAAAAAATCACACAGAAGATTGTATAACCTCTGTAAATTCTGTATCACCAATCTCAGTTGGGACCTCAGCATTGCTTGGTAATCAGACAAATTTTCTATTTTTAACTTATTCTCCCACTTCTATGGTAGTTATTTTGGACCTTTATTTTCCTAAAATCTCAAATTTCTCTGTTCTCACTTTAGCAGATGGCCTTGACCCCCCAATTCAAAGAATAGATGGAATCCTTCATTGCAGTTCCTTCAACTTTCCCCACTTTTAAATCTCTTTCTCCATCTGTAAGCAGTTTTTCCTTCTTACACCTGTGTTGTGCATCTCTTAATGCCTATCTTCAAGAGGGGCACTTGTGCTGTTGATTCTTTTAGCTACATTAGCTAAGTTCCCCAACCCCTAAAAAGTCTTCAACTTTTCTCTGTGTCCTTTTTATCGAAAACAACCTGAAGTTGTTTTTTTCCTCTTCAAAACAATAATAACAATTGTAAACCAACAAAAAAACACACTTTCACATTTCACTTCAACTATCACACTTCTCCCTTTCACAAACTACTTGAAATGATTGTTAGAGTACACCCTCTAGTGCTCTTTCCTTTTAGCCCACACTAATCTGGTTTCTATTCTTTACTCTGTCAAATAGTTAAGGTCAGTTATTATCTCAGTGAATCCAGTGAACATTTACTGTTTTTTATATATGCAACCTGGAGTCATCAAGTCAGAATGTGCTACATTTGTTTTTATCTAGCTCCTTTTCCCCTTTTTTAAAAATTGGAATACTTTAAAGCAAATTCTAAACACATCATTTCACCCTTTATTTAATGTTTCTCTCTTTAAAAACGTGGACATCCAGGGCGCAGTGGCACACACTTGTAATCCCAGCAGTTTGAGAGGCTGAGGCAGGAGGATCGTGAGTTTAAAGCTAGTTTCAGCAACATTAAGGTGCTAAGCAACTCAATGAGACCCTATCCCTAAATAAAATGTAAAATAGGGCTGGAGATGTGGCTCAATGGTCAAGTGCCCCTGATGAGTTCAATCCCTGATACAAAAAAAAATAAAAAACAACTATGGATATCATTCCAACCCACGGTAATTCCTTGTTATTATCTAATACCTGATCCATAATCAAATTTCCTCATATGTCCCAAAATGTTTTATTCATTTGGTGTTTTTTTTTGTAATTATAGGTGGATTCAATACTTTTATTTTTATGTGCTGCTGAGGATCAAACCAAGTTCCTCACGTGTGCTAGATGAACACTCTACCATTGAGCCACAACCCCAGCCTCTCATTTGGTTTTTCTAATCCTAATAAGGTCCACACATTAATTTTCTTGTTATGTCTCTTTAAGGTTTTTAGTATACAGAATTTCCTACTTTCTTGTTCTCCTTCTCAGGAACTGTTGCAGAAATTGGGCCAGTTGTCCTGTGAAATGTCCCCCATTCTGGATTTTTTTTAATGGTTATTTCTTTGTATTATTTAGCTTCATCCTTCATAATTCTGATAAATGAAGTTAGCTTTAGAGACCTGCTTAGATTCAGGTTAGACTCGTGGGCAAGAATCCTGGTAGTGGTGTTATGTGCTTCATATTACATCACACTGGGAGGCTATCTAGCTTTCACTAATGCTAAAATTGATTAGTGGGTTCATGTGGTAGTAGCTGATCTCTTTATAAAGTTCCTCATCAGCCTTTAATCTGATGGCTTCATTCATTGATGATCATTGCCTTAGTTATTTTATGAGAAATTACAAAATGTTAATTTTCTAATTTCCTTCTTCCTCACTGAAATTCTCTATAAAATGAATTTTTTCTTCATTTCCCCAAGCCTACTTGATCACCCTGATACAAAGTTTATATGGGAAAGACAGGAAAAATTCTAACAGACAAATTTTTGTAAGGAGTTGGTGGCCTCATTTCCAGTAGTGTCCAATGAGTTGGAATTTTTTAAATTTTTGATCTTTTTAAAATTATCATTTGCAAGTGTGGACTTTAATAAATATATTTCAGTTAGTTGCATTCATTATTATTATTATTTTTGGTGCCTGGGGTTGAACCCACTGAGCCATATCCCCAGCTCATTTTTGTATCTTATTTAGAGACAGAGTCTCGCTGAGTTGCTTAGGGCCTTGCTAAGTTGCTGAGGCTGTCTTTGAATTTGTAATTTTCCTACCTTAGCCTCCCAAGCTGCTGGGATTACAGGAGAGTGCTACGGTACCCGGCTCATTATTATTCTTGATGCTCACTTACCTTGTCACGTTTCTAGGAAATTGGGAGCACTTCGTTGATACTCTCATTCTATTTTTATCCCTGCCACATCCTTCAGTACTCTTTAAACTTTTTGCCAGTTTCTTCTTCCCCAGAGATTTTGCACATTCTGTTTGTCTATACTATTACCTCATGGCCTAGCCGATAAGTTCCAATTAGACAGATTTCTCTTGACTCCCTTTCTCAGGCTTTATTTACTCCCTTACTTAGTACTCATAGCCTTTGTTCTTCTCTGAGAAACTTATCACAGTTGTTATGATATGCTCAATTTGTTTAGAAGATATCATCTGTCTTATTTACCATTGTATCCTTAGTATATAGCTCTATCTGACACATTTGTTGCATGAAGGTATGGTAAACACACACACACATATGCACTGTATGTAGCCAGGCCTGGTGGCACACACCTGTAATCATAGCTGCTTGGGAAGCTAAGACGGGAAGATCTCAAGTTCAAGGGTAGCCTGGGCAACTTAGCAAATAAAGTAAAAAGGTACTGGGGCTAGGTGTAGTAGTCCATAATCCCAGCAGCTCAGGATGCTGAGTTAGGAGGATTGCAAGTCTAATCCAGCCTTAATGAAAGGAAGGCACTAATCAACTTGGTGAGATGTCTCTAAATAAAATACAGAATAGGGCTGGGGATGTGGCTCAGTGGTGGAGTGCCCCTGAGTTCAATCCCCAGTAATTAAAAAAAAAAAATATATATATATATATACATACATACATACATACACATGTGTACTTACACATATACCAGGAGAGACAATATTGTTAAGAACTCTAAATGACCATAACATGTTCAGCCTCCCAAAATGGCTGTGCACTCTATGTAGGTATGATATGACAAAATACATTCTACTCTTACATATAACTAAAAAGAACAAATAAAAAAATTCTAAAGGTGTGGTATGTTCAATGAAAAAGATTTTCTTTGGGTAGCTAAAGAAATAATGGCAAAAGGACTCTGACAAGGTAGGAAGATATAAGAAATCTGATACGCTAAGGCTTGAAGAGAATCTATTGGATTTTGTAATTTGAGTTCATTAATTTCTTCTACCTTGTGAATTTTGAGTAGACTAGTGTGACTGTAGTCCAGTGTGAAATGTAAAAGGAGAGGCAGAATATAAATCAGTATACATTTTCTCTCATTGAAAAGTTGAAGAAGGGGTTGGGGTTGGGGCTTAGTGGTAGAGCGCTTGCCTAGCATGTGTGAGGCATTGGGCTTGATTCTCAGCATAAATTAATAAAATAAATGTTCATTAACATGTTAAAAAAAATTTTTTTTAAGTTGAGGAAGAAAAACCTTGGAATTTCTTACTCAATGCTAAAAAGTAAGCTTATAATAAGCCAGGATTCATGTTTTGATTTCCAGTCCATTTCTTTCCAATTTTTATGTACCCGTTTGGGTACTAATAATACTCTTCTGGATGGTAGATAACAGGAGCACCTCTCTATCTCTGTAGAAGACCTACAAACCTTGGTGATACTTTCACTCTTTAGAGCTGAGAGAGAACTTAAATGTCAGATATAGTGTTCTAAAACTCAGGTCATTTTGGTAATGTCTTCATGTTTTTTGTTTTTTTTCTTATCTACATATCCTTTTAAGAAGTTTCCTTAAATCTATTTCCTCTTTAACATCATGTAGTTAAAATTTTAAGGAAGATCTATATTGCTGGTATAAATGGAAAGCAAACCTGTATAATTTGCTATAAAGAAAATAGAACCAGCCAAGCACAGTGATACCAGCTGCTTAGGAGGCTGAGGCAGGAGTGTTACTTGAGCCTACCAAAGCCCAACTTGGGCTGTAATACTGAGACCTCATCTCAAAAATTAAGAGGAAAAAAAAAGATGACCAAAATTAAGTACAAAGGAAATACGATATTATTAATAAGCTAGATAAACTTTGCCTTAAGCCAACCTGAGACTTTTGATATAATCAGATCATCAAAAGGTAACTTTTCTGTTATGTGAATTAATGCCATGTAGTAGTAACTCAGCTCTTGCTTGACAGCTTTCTTTGTTTTTTTGGCCAGGGGGCGGGGGGGGGGTCTCTTTTTTTTAGTCTTTTCTTTTTTGGAACTAGGGATTGAACCTAGGGCTTCGTGAATGAATGCGTCCCAGCCCAAGCTTGACAGCTTTCTTAACTCATACTTTGGGAATATTTTTCTGCTCTATCAACTTTGCCATTGTTGCATTGGAGAAATTGTAGCCCAGAGACTTGCTCCAAGTTACACAGTTATCTAAAGCTTTAGCCTGGCATCCTGATGCTGATTATGTTAGTCTTTTCACTACATATTACTTTATAATCAGTGATATAATGATTTTTAGAATCATTTTATATTATTTATATTATAGAAATTTATATTATTGAAATACAATAGCAATATTGTTTTTTTTTAAATCCTGTAACTGCAAAAACTTTACTTTTTCATATTCATATGGTTTTTTTTGGGGGGGGGGTCCAGTTTTAGTAATGGAATTAATTGTATTAAGCTATTATCATTAGAAAAAGCAAGTTTAGTATTTAAGACTTGTTTTGTGTCCCTTTGTCTTATTTTCCTATACTGCCATAACAAATTATCAGCGTGGCTTATGACAACAGAAAGTTATTACTTTACAGTTCTAAAGATAAGAAATCCAGGAATGGGTTTCACTGTGTTAAAGTGATGGCAGATCTGTGATAAATTCTGGAGGCTCTCGGGGAGAATTCAGTCCCTTACCTTTTCCAGCTCCTAGAATCTCCCTACACTTCATGGTTTGTGGTTCCTTCCTCCATATTCAAAGTCAGCAGCATAGCGTCTTCTAATCTTACTTTGACTCTGAGCTCCTTTTTCTATCTTAAAGGACAATTATGATTATACTGAACCCATCCTGATAATCCCAGGGTAATCTCCATATTGCAGTATACCTAACCTAATTATATCTGTAAAGTCCCTTTTGCCATGTAAGATAACACATATATAGGGTCTGTAGATTAGGATAAGGACATCTTGGGGGAGGGGCATTATTCTGCCTATCCCATCTAAGGATTTGCATTGGGTTTTGTTGTTGTTGTTTGTTTGTTTTTAGCATTAGGTGGTCTCTTCAGTCAGCCTGCCCAAGCTCCTACCCAGTCCAACCAGCTGATAAATACTGCAAGTGCTCTTTCTGCTCCAACACTATTGGGAGATGAAAGAGATGCTATTTTGGCAAAATGGAATCAACTGCAGGCATTTTGGGGAACAGGAAAAGGATATTTCAATAATAATATTCCACCAGTGGAATTCACTCAAGAAAATCCCTTTTGCCGATTTAAGGTATTAATTCTGTTTCTGCTCTTTATTTTAAAAAGAATACATTCGAAAGAACATGATTTTTGGATTAAAATTATATCAAGAAAACAGTTGCTTGTTTCTTTAGTACTCCTTGAACATGGTATGATTATACTTTTAAAAATATAGAAATTATAAAATCAGAATGTTTTCTTTTATGGCTCAGAGGGATCAGAATATGGCTAAAGATAATGTATCACTAGAATGTGACTTATAACTTAAGGGAAAATGGTCTACCTTGCACACCTGTAAAGGGGAGACTCAAAATTAGACATTAGTTGTATTCATATAACATTGGTAAGTAAACTGCAACCTGGCCAGTGGACAGTTGTCCTTGGCACATGTAACCCTATTGCCATTTTCTTTGTTCTGATTTCTTGTCTACCAAGCAACCATCTCATTTTTTAAATTTTTTTTTAATTAGTTACACATGACAATACAATGATCTTTACATATCATGCATTTGAATCAGATGGAATATAATTTCTCATTTTTCTGAGTGTACAGGTTGCAGAATTACATTGGTCATGCAGTCATGTATATAACCAAAGCAATAATAATATCTATTTTATTCTGCTGTCCTTCCTTTCCCCCCTTTCCCTCGCCTCTCCTCTCATCATTTCTCTCTACCCAATCTAATGTGACCCACTTCTTTTTTTCCCCCCCTCACATCTTCATACCTGTATTCTGTATAACGAAGGGAGTTTCCTTCCCTCTTCCATGCAATTCCCATTTTCCTCCCTTTCCCTCCCACCTCTCTTCCCTATCTAAAGGTAATTTTCTTCTCATGCTCTTCCTCCCTACCCCATTTTGAGTCACCTCCCGTATATCAGAGAAGACATTCGGCATTTGTCTTTTGGGGATTGGTTAACTTCACTTAGCATAATCTGCCACCATTTCCCTGCAAATGCCATGATCTTGTTATTTTTTTAGTCCATTGTGTATAAATGCCACATTTTTTAATCCATTCATCCATTGAAGGGCATGTAGGTTGGCTTCACAGTCCAGCTATTGGGAATTGTGTTGCTATAAACATTGATGTGGCTGTGTCCCTATAGTATGCCATTTTTAGGTCTTTTGAGTATAGTCCGAGAAGAAGAATAGCTGGGTCAAATGGTGGTTCCATTCCCAGTTTTCCAAGGAATCTCCACACTGCTTTCCAAATTGGCTGCACCAATTTGCAGTCCCACCAGCAATGTATGAGTGTACCTTTTTCCACGCATCCTCGACAGCACATATTGTTGTTTGACTTCATAATGGCTGCCATTCTTACTGGAGTGAGATGGTATCTTAGAGTAGTTTTAATTTGCATTTCTCTGATTGCTAGCAATGCAACCATCTCATTTGAATTTGACTTCATATATGTATTCATCAGTGAAAGAGAGTATGTAGGTCTACTTAGCAGTGTATTTTCCATAAAAAGTTAATGTATTTTAGTCAGTTTTATATTTCAACCTGTGTGTGTGTGTATGTGTGTTGCTAGGGATGGTACCTAGGGCCTTTTGCATGCTAGGCAAATGTCCTACCACTTAGCTGTATACACACACAAGCCTTGTACTTAAGCCTTTTCTGAGTTATGTTGACCTGTGTCAGTCCCTTAAAGTTAACCAATAGTCTTGTGTTTGGAGCTACAAGGCTGAGGATCAGATGCTTGAACAGAGTGAAACAAAAATGGTCAGCCTGTCTTTGTTAGAGTACATATCTTAGTCTCATCACTCTAACAAAAAAATACACATTTGGGATCAAAGGCATTTCAGATTGCACATCTGAATAAGAATATTTGCATATGCATAATGAGACTCACCTTGGGGATAGGACCCAATCTAAAAGTGAAATTCATGTATGTATTATGTAGTTTTATACACAACCTGAAGCCCATTGCTGTTTTGACTGCAACCCATTACATGAGAGCAGGTGTGAAAGTTTCCACTGAGCCATCATATCAAAACAATTTCAGAATTTGAAGCACTTTGGATTTCAGTTACTCAACCTATATATTTTTTGAGTAAATTAGTTGAAATTTTAATCCTTTTATTTAGTGATAAGAAATGCAGTAGTAGATATAAGTTGAATATAATGATTTAAACTTTTTCTTTTTTCAAAATTTGAAGTATACTATGCTAATGGTAAAATGCGTAATATACACTTGAATGAATTTAAATACTTTTAAAAAGTTGTAAGTGGTAACAAGATAAATGGCTTGATAACAAGATAAAGAGCAATAACAAGATAAAGAGCAATATTTTAGCCTGAGTCTGGGGCTTATGGTTCAGTGGTAGAGTGCTTGCCTAGCACATGTGAGGCACTGGGTTCAATCCTTAGCATTGAATACAAAATAAATAAATAAATAAAATAAAGGCATTCTGTCCATTTACAACTACAAAAAAAAACAAAACAAAAAACCACCCAAAACTAACATGTTTAATAAAAGTTTTGTTATATGAAACCATAAAATGATAGACATTTTTTTTAGTGATTTTAACCTGACAGTTTCATTATTGTACATTAAAAGTATTTATTTGTAAATCACTTCCTTATCTAGAACTTTAAGATTCTATGAATTAGGTATATTGTGAAATAAATTCAGTTGGCCTGTGATTTTTGCATTAATGTTTATAATGACATGCAAAGTTGTTTGGTTCTAAATATTCAACAATAATGAATATCAAACTTTTTTCTGAGTAAAAGCTCTTCAGTTACTATTTTAAGGAGCAGATTTTAATTTCACCCTGTTTATATTATTCTTGGGTAATATAGTTATAATTGTGTGACTTCTTTGGGTACAAAATAATGTATTCTTCATAACCAAACATTAAGCTGTTTTGCCTCATTTTAGCAGCTATTAAGCTATTAATATTAAACACTTGACTTAAGATATGTACATATTTTTATATTATTTATTTTGTCATTTTGCAGGCAGTAGGTTATAGTTGTATGCCCAATAATAAAGATGAAGATGGGCTAGTGGTTTTAGTTTTCAACAAAAAGGAAACAGATATTCGAAGCCAACAACAGCAGTTGGTAGAATCATTGCACAAAGTTTTGGGAGGAAACCAGACCTTAACTGTAAATGTAGAGGGTATTAAAACATTGCCAGATGATCAGTAAGTATACATAAAATATACTATTTATTTTTGTGTGCCCTGGTCCAGAGAGTAGTCAGCAGAGTTTTTTTTGTTGTTGTTGAAACACAGATTATATCTTAGAACAGAATGTTATTTCCCAGCTGGTGGTTATTTAGTATTTGTAGAAATGTTTGTTTAAAAGCTTTTTTTTTTATTTAATTTTGGATTTCTTATTAGATGCTAATAATTTCATAGACTTTCATTCAAGACCAGGAGGAAATATTTTATCACAGTTATACAAACTGAATGCCACATGATATTACTAGAAGGTTTAATTAACTTATTACCATTCATGTTCATTCATGACTAATTGTGATTACTTTACTTCCCTTGACCTCATATGATTTTTAGTCTTAGTGGCAAGGCATTTTACTTTAGGATTTTAAGGTTGAATTTTACTTCTTGCTATCAGTAATGCAGAAAAGTAACCCATAAGTTTCAGCAGAATCTTCAAAGTATTTCTTAGTTCTGGAAAAAATATCAAAATAACATTTATGTAGGACTTCGCAGCTGACCAGACCTTTTCACAAATTTGATCTTGTTGACCTGCATTTTAACTTTTATCATTTAAATTGGTTGACAACTGAATTTGAGGGTTTATTCTCCAAGATTTGAGGGGAAGAAAAATTCTGAATTCATCTAGCACTCTTCTAAAATCATACGTTGTATTGATATTTGTGGCTGTGGGTTATATGTACTCAATATTTTATAAGTTGGGTTTTTTCCCTACAGGACAGAAGTTGTCATTTATGTTGTTGAACGTTCTCCAAATGGTACATCAAGAAGAGTTCCAGCTACAACATTATATGCACATTTTGAACAAGCTAATATAAAAACACAATTGCAGCAACTTGGTGTAACACTTTCTATGACTAGAACAGAACTATCTCCTGCACAGATTAAACAGCTTTTACAGAATCCTCCTGCTGGTATGTTTCTAGAGTCATACAATTGAAAAAATGAAAGATTTAGAAATAAGTGTTCCCCTTTTAGGAGATGTTGGTTGGTTATTAATGTTAATCAGTATGAGCTTATCACATGTCTACTTATTTGTGAGATCGTTTTGAATATTTGTATTCATTCATTCATGTAACTTTTTATTATATAGCTAATATATTTGTTAGAAATATTGAGAAATTATCAACTAAAGAAAAAGAATACATAATTCATCTACCCTCTTACATTATTTTAATTTCCTATAGCTTATCTCTTAAGCTGAATATTCAAATAAAACCTGAATTTTTTTCCACCGTAAGATATTCTAGATGGCCTAACTGTGTTGACTAGTTCTCCTTTATTTCCCTTCCCTAGAAGTAACTATTAATTCTTTATCTGTGATTTTAAATGTAAGCATACGTACTTGTAGTTTCTTTAAAAAAGGATTTTCCACTGTACATTTGCTGTAGCTTGCCTTTTCACCTACAGTGTTCCTTAGTACTTTTCATGTCAGTACATGAAGGTAAATTTTATTCTATTTAAACACCTACATAGTATTTTACACATATGTGTTGCTGTTTAATTCCCATGTTGTTTCTGAGTTTTCAGTTTTATAAACTGTTTCCTTGTAGATATGTCTAGAGTACATGGGTATGTACTTTTTTAGAATGGATCTCTGGAAATGAAATTGGAGTCAGTATTATATATGTTAGATATATACGTTTGATATTGCCAAATTGCCCTCTAAAAAACCCCCACCATTTAAATTTCTTGTTTTTGGGGGGCTACTGGGGATTGAATTCAGGGACATTCGACCACTCAGCTACATCCCCAGCCTGATTTTGTATTTTATTTAGAGACAGGGTCTCACTGAGTTGCTTCGCACTGAGTTGCTGAGGCTGGCTTTCAACCTGCGATCCTTCTTTCTCAGACTTCGAGCCCCTGGGATTGTAGGCATGTGCCACCACACCTGGCTCCATTGGAATTCTTAACAGCAATATTTTTTGCTGCTGCTGTTTTGCTACAGATGGCAATAAATTAATTTAAAAATTAATATTTATTTTAATCTGCATTTTCCTGATTACTAGCAAAGTTGAATTAGCTAAATATTTGTATTTTTTGTGAATTACCTATTTATGTCCTTGGTCCATTTTCTATTAGGGTCTGTCTCTGTCATAATAGGAGCTCTTAACTGTATTCTGAAGGTTAATCTATTATTCTGTAGGTTTTAGGTATTTCCTTTCAACCTGTATTTTTTGTTTTAGCTTTGTCCTATAATAAAACTTTCTACTTTTAGAATGATCATATTTGACAGTCATTTTTCATTATAGCTTCTGAGTCTGTCTTTGGGGAAAATCTTTCCCATACACATATTTTAAACACAGAAAAGTGTTTAAAAAATATTTTTTCTTTGTGGTAGGTGTTGATCCTATTATTTGGGAACAAGCCAAGGTGGATAACCCTGATTCTGAAAAGTAAGTGTGTCTTCAAGCTAATATTTACTACTATGGAAGCAAACAGATGTAAGCTAAGCTCTTAATTGTATTTCTAACATTTGAGGAGTTTTCATTGCTTTAAAAAAAAATGTTTGGGGAGACCCATAGTGTGGTGAAAACTACTAGAGATGAAGAAATCTGAGTGCCGTTTCCCCAATTAACATTGAGTTTCATTATAATTTTTGACAACTATATTTCCTCATTTGTAAAATAGGGAGGAACACTTGATTTCATATTGATCCATCTAGAAATTTGATGTAAAATTATACATTACTATGAAAATCTTATATATTTTGTAGTAACAGACTTAAGATCAGATAATTGACTACTTGCATTTCTTCAGGTTAATTCCTGTACCAATGGTGGGTTTCAAAGAGCTGCTACGAAGATTGAAGGTTCAGGATCAGATGACTAAGCAGCATCAGACCAGATTAGATGTAAGCAACTAGCTTTTTATTCTCTGGTTCTGGTAGTAGGTAGAGGGACTAGAGACATTTAATTATTTTATCAAGGGTGCCATTTTTCTCTTATGGGGAACCAGTATACTGCACATTAACAATTATAGCTTTATACAACTACCTTCTTTATAATAGGCTTCTTAATATCATATAAATATGATTTGATATATTTCAAAAATATTGATTTTCTTTTTTGGTACTCAGAATATTTTCTAATTTCCTTTGAGAATTTTTATTGTTTTTGATTAGTGAATTATTTTAAAATATTTTTCATTTCCAAGTGTTGGAGGTTTTTCAGGGATTGAACTCAGGGGCAGTAGACCACTGAGCCACATCCCCAGCCCTATTTTTTATTTTATTTAGAGACAGGGTCTCACTGAGTTGCTTAGCGCCATTGCTGAGGCTGGCTTTGAACTCGTGATCCTCCTGCCTCAACCTCCCCAGCTGCTGGGATTACAGGTGTGTGCCACCACGCCCAGCCCATACATCTTAATATTACGAGTAATTTCTAGTTTTTCATCTATTATCTCTGCTTTGATGTCCTTTGTGGAATAGAAATCCTTAATTTTATTGTAATTAAATTGGGGTGTTTTTGATTTTCCTTTTTTGTCCTTAGAAATTTTTTTAAACCATTCTTTACCCTAGGATCTAAGAGTCACCTACATTTTTTTCTAACATTTAGAGTTAAATCTTTCACATTTGCCTCTTTTGCCCTCAGTGGAGTTCACCTCTTTACATGTTATGTGACTTGAACTTTTTTTCTGAATGGTGGGTCTATTTTTCAAATATCCATAAAAAATTTGATTTACCCCATTTAACTAAGAATTTGAATTATTATATGTGTGTGTGTGTGTGTATATATATATATATATATGATCTAATTCTAGATCTATTATGTTTCAGGGTCCAGTTGGTCTGTTCTCACAAGATTTTTTTACTTTTGTGGCTTTGCAACACATACTAAAAGCTAGTAGATTGAATTTCCAGTTTTTGTTCTTCTCAGGGTTTTCTTGGCTCTCTATGGACCTTTATTTTTTCATAAAGATACTGGAATCAGTTTTTCAAAATGCCAGAATTTTGAAATTGCATTAAATGTAAAGACTAATTAGTAAAGAATTGAATCCTAATGCTAAATCACTCCATACATGAATATAATTTGTCTCTTTAATCACTGATGTCTTTTATGGCCTTCATAATTATTTTAATATATTCTTTTTAAAAATCTTGCATGCTCCTTTTTGGTTAATTCCTGGATGGTAAATAAATACTGCAGATGGTAACATGGTCACCTAGTTTTGTCTCTTTATAATGGCCTGGCATTTATTTCCTTCAAAGGTGATATGCACAGATGGACTTGTTAAAATGTGTTATACAATCTTCTTATCCTCTTTCCTATGTCTATGTTAGCCAGTGACATAGAATGATTAATTATGATGGGACAGTTATGGGATTAAATCCAGTTGGAATGCTTTAGTGACATGGAGAGATTGTTAACCTAGTTTGTTAAGATTTTGTAAGGCAGAAAGTAGGATTTTAAGCCAGGCAAAGAATAAATTAAAGATCCAGTGTCATAAAAATGTATTCAGTTGTAGAATTCATATTTCTTTTCCTCTCCAATCTGATTACTCCAAATATTCTGTAAACAGTTATATTGGGCTATACTATATTTTATGGCAATAGATTGAGGTGATTAAGCCTACCCCTACCCTCTGCCCCTTTTTACTATGCAATGCCCAAATATCCTAGTGCTCTGAAGAATTCTTTTAATAGTAACTTATGATTTTTAGATACATAAGAAGGAAAAACTGCAAATGCAGAATTAAAGGGAAAGAATTTTATATTTTGAGAGATAAATTTCAAGTTTATTTCAGATTTAGGCTTTGCATATAGGCATAGCTGATAAATAATTGTAATACCCATACCTGACTTATATAAAAGGCATTTTTTCCCCACAGATTATATCTGAAGATATTAGTGAGCTACAAAAGAATCAAACTACAACTATGGCCAAAATTGCACAATACAAGAGGAAACTCATGGATCTTTCCCATAGAACCTTACAGGTAGTAATTTGGAATTTTTCCCCCAACATTTACAAGATGATACATGTGAATTACGTGCTGAATATAGGAAAAAAGAGACTCAGAAGAAATAATGATCCAAACTGTAAGTACCAAACTTAGTAAAACCTAGACATTGGAGGAGAAGTCTTACAGGGTTGGGTAAGGAGAGTAAAATTCTAAAGTTCACATCTTAGTAACACAGTAAAGGAAAACCATGAAGAAATAAAGCATTTTAGTATGAGGAAAGCATATATGAAATCACTGATATCTAGTCTTCATAAAGTAGAAAATACTTTTTATTTTTGAATGCCAGAAAAGGGAGTGTAACCACTAATGGTTGAAAAAAACAACAGAACTTCCAAATTAACAAGAGAAAATTAAAAATGAACAACAAAAACACCCTGAAATTATAAACTATCATGAAAACAAATATTACATACCAGAATCAGTGGGATGCGGCAAAAACTGTCCTCAAGAGGAAAATGTATAGGCTTAAAAAAAAACAAAAAACTTCATTTCTAAAAATCAAATGAAAGAAAATAAACTTATGTTGTAGCATGTTAAAGTACTTCATTTTCTTTTATTGCTGAGTAATACTTCATCATATGAATGTTCTGCATTTTTATTCACTCATCATTTGATGTACACTTTGGTTGTTTTCACCTTTTGGCTATTGTGAATAATGTCATTAATATTTGTGTACATTTTATTAGATGTATGCTTCCATTTTCTTGGGTATAAATCTAGGAGTGAAATTTCTGGGTCATATGGTTAATACTGCATTTAATTGTTTGTGAAATTGCCAAAATGTTTTTCAAAGCAGCTGAAGCATTTTACATCTCTATTTTTAGCAGCTTAAAAAAAAAATCTATGAACAGATATTTCTAATAAAAAATGCAAATTATGTTTAGTAAAAAAAAAGACTTACTGGCTATATAATGCATGATTTCATTTATATGACATTATGCAAAAATGGGACAGTGCTGCTAGAGGCTGGAGATGAGAACTTTTGGGGATGATGGAAATAGTTTATACATACTTTTGTGGGTTGTATGGGGGATTACCCCAGGGCCTTATACATACTAAGCATGAATTTTACCATTTAGCTATACTCCAAACACCTTTTTTATTTATTTATTTTTTGCAAGTTTTTTTGTTTGTTTTATTTTTTGTTTATTTTTTATTTTTTTTAATAAAGAAGGATAAGTGTTTGAAACTAGCTTCTAGAGGGATAAAAAAGAAATAATGATGGGGACTTCCTTTATCAGATTTATAACTTACTTTAAACTTCTTGTACTTTTGGGGTATCTTTTTTTCTTTTCATTCTCTCATGCTTTTTTGTGGCAGGTGGGAGGCTCTGCAGTGCTAGTGATCAGACTCAGGTCATCAAAATTTTGGTGGTGGTTACATGACTGTATATATTTGTCAAAATTAACTAGAGACCCATAGAACTCTGCACCTAAGTGGGTGAATTTTTTTGTATGTGGATTATACCTCAGTGAATTGGGACCAGAAAACCCCAGAAATTCTAAATGAAGAAATGACAGTCTTTCAATATAACAGTGTTCTAACACATTAAAGGAAAATATATAATAGACTATATCCAAAAATAGCAAATATTTCAAAAGGCAAAACATAAAAATGGATATTCAGAACCTAGACCCTGAGATACCCAATCTTATCATTATTAATCACTGTTATCATGGAGGTTTTCAAAAATATAATAAGCAATAAAATAAATATCAATACTGGACAGGAGATCAAACAATCAGTTTGCTGAGGGCATTATTTAGAAAACTCAGGACAATTTATCATAGAATTAGTGTAATCTGGCTAGATATAAAGTGTAAAAATTAGCTTTTCTTATATCATCATGAAAACAGGAAAATACAACATTTGTTATGATGACAAAACTATAAAATACTTAGGAATAAATTTATGAGGAAAGTACATAATTTGAGGTCTTTACAAATAGATAAAACCATATTTTTAGATGAAAAGACTTCATAAAGTTTAAAAAGGAATTAAATATTTTTAAAAATTGATTAAAATGTTTGTTTTTTTAAATAAAGAAGGATAAGTGTTTGAAGCTAGCTTCTAGGACAATATAAAAGAAAAAATGAAGAGGACCTTCCTTTATAAGTAAGGTTTAAGAACCTACTTTAAAACTCTTGTGGTCAGGCTGGGGATGTGGCTTAAGCGGTAACGCACTCGCCTGGCATGCACAGGGTGCTGGGTTTGATCCTCAGCACCACATAAAAATAAAATAAATATGTTGTGTCCACCGAAAACGGAAAAATAAATATTAAAAAAAAAAATTCTCTCTCTCTCCCCCTCTCTCCTCTCCTCTCTCCTCTCTCCTCTCTCTCTCTTAAAAAAAAAAACAAAAAACTCTTGTGGTCAAATCAATGTTAAATTGACAATAGGATTAGACATAAAGATATCTGGAAGAGAATCAAAAATCTGTAAGTAGATGCAAGTATATCTGTATGCTTGACAAATGACAGAGGTGGTAGTTCAATTCAGTGAGATTGTTTAGTAAACAATGCTATAATAACTGTGAGAAAATAAAATGTAGACCACTGCATCATACTATATACAAAAGTAGATTAAAGACACAACTCTAAAAAAAAAACTCCTGAAGCTGCATGTACAACTTCAGGGATTAGAGAGACACTTGGTCAAAAACTGTAAAACAGATACTACATAAGAATTAGAAAACATTATGGCAAAATATACCAGAAGCCATATGTCAGTAGTTGTGGAAATTTTGCAAAAAGCATTTATTTTATCTTTAGTGTTAATATATGTATTATACAAAAGATTCTATAATTTGACAAGAAAACCTAATTGAAATGTGGGCAAAATATTTGTAAAGGCATGTCACAGAAAAACAAATACAAAGTTACTTCTTAACCAGAGATGCTCTTCTAGCTTACTAGAAGTCAGGGATTTGCAAATTAAAGAAAAAAATTTTTATATTCATCAGATCAGAAAATTTTAACCACCATTACCAGTGGCTGGCAGGAATGTGGGGTAACGGTAACTCTTGACAAGTGGTTTGTGAATCTACACTGTTAGAATTTTTGGAGAAAGCCATCTTAGCAGCTTGTATTATAACTGAAAACATACTTTTAAGCCCAGCAATCTCATTCTTGGGGGTCTACAAAGATCTTTACACAAAAATATGTAGTAAAGCATTGGTCATAGAATCATAACTAGAAATAAATATGTGCCTATCAAGATAATAATGATTGATTATTGGTTATTACTCATGAAAAGGCATGAAGCTGTTAAAAATAACAAATTAGAGCCACACCTCTTAAGGATTTTAGTATGATTATAATTGAGTTAACTTTGTGGGGGAAAAAAGGATTAGGAGTATGGATGAAAGTTTGAAGGAACTTGCAGTTTTGACACTATGTATCTTGGGATTGGGAGTAAGAGCAGAGCAAGTCGGCCTTTAGTGGTCTCAGCACTGACTCCCGAGGTACTATTAAGTTCGCTTAAAGAAAGAAGCACGACACAGAAAAACAAACAGTATAGTTGTATTTTAGATACATGTATGTGCATGTATGTTTTGTATGTGTGAACGAAAGTATAGGGGAATGAACTTTAGTCAGTGCTGTTTCTCTTGAGAGAATGAGAGAAAATTTGCCAAAATTTTTGTATGGTTTCTAGACAGGCAAATACTGCTTTTTTAATCTGAAGCAGAAGTCCAATAAAATTTTTAAAAACTTAAAATTGTTATAAGCTCACATTTTTATATAAAGAACACTTGATTCTGAAAGGCTATAAAGGTGTAAAACTGTGAGGTGCATAGAGAGCCTGCATCTTGGGGGCAAATCTTTACCCCTCACACATCCGATAGAGCACTAATCTCTAGGGTATATAAAGAACTCAAAAAGCTAAGCACCAAAAAAAATTTTAAATAACTCAATCAATAAATGGGCCAAGGACCTGAACAGACACTTCTCAGAAGATGATATACAGTCAGTCACCAAATATATGAAAAAATGTTCATCATCACTAGCAATTAGTGAAATGCATATCAAAACCACTCTTTAAGATTTCATTTCACTCCAGTCAGAATGGCAGCTATTATGAAGACAGACAATAATAAGTGTTGGTGAGGATGTGGCGAAAAAGGTACACTCATACACTGCTGGTGGGACTGCAAATTGGTACAGCCAATATGGAAAGAAGTATGGAGATTTCTTGAAAATTGGGAATGGAACCACCATTTGACCCAGCTATCCCTCGCCTCGGTCTATATCCAAAGGACTTAAAAACAGCATACTACAGGGACACAACCACATCAGTGTTTATAGCAGCACAATTCATAATAGTTAAACTCTTGGAACCAACCTAGATGCCCTTCAACAGATGAATAGATTAAAAAAATATGGCATGTATATACAATGGAATATTATTCAGCAATAAAAAAGAATGAAATCATGGTATTTGCAGGTAAATAGATGGAGTTAGAGAAGATAATGCTAAGTGAAGTTAGCCAATCCCAAAAAAACAAATGCTGAATGTTTTGATATAAGGAGGCTGATTCATAGTGAGGTAGGGAGAGAGGGAGCCTGGGAGGAATAGACAAACTCTAGATAGGGCAGAGGGGTGGGAGGGGGGGTATGCGGTTATTAATAATGGTAGAATGTGTTGATCATTATTATCCAAAGTACAGGTATGAAGACACGATTGGTGTGAATATACTTTGTATACAGAGAGATAAAAAATTGTGCTCTGTAAGAATTGTAATGCATTCCGCTGTCATATATAAATTTTTTAAAGTGTTTTACAAAAAGAAAAAAAGTATAAAAACCATAGAACTGTTGTACTCCTTCTACCAGCACTTAAGTGATACTTCTACCTAGTACCACAGAAATGTGAGTCAGTTCTTGAACTGTTAAGCCCAGCTTTATTGTTAGTTTTCAGCTAATTTCTGTCAACAACTAGTAAAATTACTTGCATAACTAAAAAAAGTTCTATTAGTATTGATGATTTCTTTTTAATAGGTCCTAATCAAACAGGAAATTCAAAGGAAAAGTGGTTATGCCATCCAAGCTGATGAAGAGCAGCTGCGGGTTCAGCTAGATACAATTCAGTGTGAACTGAATGCACCTACTCAGTTCAAAGTAAGCATTTCTACAACATAAAGCTAGAATTTATTTCAGGTGGATTTGCAGACAAGTTTTAAGTAGTTTTCAAACAATAACTTTGCATTTTTTTAACATTCTTTAATTTAAAAACTCTTTCTAAATTGAACTTAGTCATGATTTTTTTGGCTTGTGTTAGTGCTTCAAATAATGTACAGAGCAAGAATTGGAAATTTTTAATTGATAATTTTGAAACTCTCCTTTCAAAAGGTTCTCTTTTTGAAATGGTTGCTGTTGTTAGCAGTTGTATTTTGACCCATTCTTACTCTTAGGGCCGACTAAATGAACTGATGTCCCAAATCAGAATGCAAAATCATTTTGGAGCAGTCAAATCTGAAGAAAGATATTATATAGATGCAGATCTATTGCGAGAAATAAAGCAGGTAAGTGTTTCACAAAGATGTACTTTTTAAAAGTGTCAGCTTACCACTCACATTCATTAGGATGGCTATTATCCAAAAATAATAATAATGTGTTTGCAATGATGTGGAGAAGTTGGAACCTTTGAACTGTTAAGGAAAGTGGAGCCTATGGAAAACAGTATGGTAGGGTCTCAAAATGTTATAAACAGAATTACTAGGTGATCTGGCAGTTCCACTCTAGATGACCCAAGGAAATTGAAAGCAGGTATTTGAACAGATATACATCCATGTATATACACACACAATGTGCTATTTCTTCCTAAGAAGAAGAAAATTCTTACACATGCCATAACATTGATTGACCTTGAAGATGTTATCCTAAGTGACATAAGCCAGCCATAAAAGGACTAATTTTGTATGACTCCACTTACATGAGGTACCTAAAATAGTCCAGTTAATAGAGAATAATGGTGGTTGCCAGGGGATGAGAAGAGGGGGAAATGGAGAGTACTATTTAATTGGCACAGAATTTCAGTTTGGGAAGATGAAAAGTTCTAGAGATAGATGGTGGTGATTATTGCCCAACAGTGTCAATGTACTTAATACTCTCATTTGGGCTTAACAGTTCAAATGATAAATTTTATTTTCTATTTTACCACAATAAAAAATAAGTGAATCATGCCCATCACCATCTCCTCTGAGCATATAAAGGGTGAATTTAGAGGTAATAGAAGCCCTAAAGTTACCTAGACCTTACTACTCAAAATGTAGGTGGTAGCAGCACCTGGAAGATCATTAGAAATGCAAAATCTCAGTCTTTATTCTAAATCTACTCAACTTGCATTTTACCAAGGTCATAGGGAGATGAGTGTGCATGTTAAATTGAAGAGCAACTATTGGAGATCATACCTTCTCAATCTATATGCCACATACAGGTATATAGAGTTAAGGGACGGGACCTATGCAGAGGTTGGGGTAGCTAGAATCTTCAACCATGTGTCTAAGGCTCACTTTGAATGAAAAAAAGATTTTTTTACTATAGCTTATTTTCGTACAAATTTATTTAATGAAAGCTATTCAAATATTGATTGTGCATAAATAAAATATTAAACCAGGTATAGTGTCTCATGCCTGTAATCCCAGCAACTTGGGAGGCTAAGGCAGAAAGGATCACAGGGTTGAGGCCAGCTTTAGCAATTTAGCAAGACCCTGTCTCAACATAAATTTAAAAATAAAAAAAGGACGGGGGTGTAACTCAGTGTTGAAGAGTGCTTCTGGAATCAGTCCCTAGCAACAGCAGCAGCAACAATGACAATATATATGTGTATATGTGTGTGTGTATGTATACACATATTTGTTGTTTGTATAAAAGATGGTAACTTGGTGAAACACTAGGTGTACTGGCATGAGCTTGAGGATTTTAGATAGTTATGTCATTAACAAAGCAATCTAGTGCTTTGTGGAAATGTAAAATAATACATATACTTTTGATTATTATGTGCTTCTCTTTTTAAAGTAAATATAGCTTTAAGGGGTAAATCTTTTGAAGGTTATCTTTAAAGAGTTGTGAGGTGACTATTAGCACATTATAGTACAGAGCCATATTAAAGAGTCTGTACATGCAATAATATTGGAAATCATATAAACAGCCATCTTTCTAAAATGTTTTGGAATTGAACCACAACTTTCCCTCTACTTTATTGCCTTGGACAAATAACTTACCTATGTCTCAGTTTCTTTAAAGTAAAAATGACCCTAATACTCCAAAGGGTGCTCAAGGGTTTTAAATGAATTAATAAGCAAGTTAATTTCAGTGAGGCTATTAAACAGTATGTTAGTATATGGGAAGGACTCCTAAAATGTTATCAACTATATTCATCATCACCCTTACCATCATTACATATACTTTGTACTTCAAAACATGAAAATTGTTTTTAAAATGTTTGCTTATTCTGGCCATCTGTATTCATCTATATATAAGTACCTTCAACTTAATTTTAATATCATACTTTTGTTTTTAATTTAAAAATATATCTGTTAAAGATGCTGCTCATATTTTATCTTTCTTGAGAGTATACTTTTACTGTGGGTTATGTAAAAGTTTTATTAGTAAAAGATGTAAAAATGTTTATGCTTGCCTGTTTTATTTAGAGCAGTTACTACGTACTGTATTATTGCTAGTACAATACTAAAATTTCTTATGAGTAGCTTGCAATTTAGCAGAATAATACATTAATATGTTCTATTTTATTCTAGCATTTGAAACAACAACAGGAAGGCCTTAGTCACTTGATTAGCATCATAAAAGATGATCTAGAAGACATTAAGTTGGTAGAACATGGATTGAATGAAGCCATCCATGTCAGAGGTGGTGTCTTTAGTTGACAGTTCACAAATTTGTGTTGGTGGTTGGTGAAATACATCCTCTCAACTTACTTCATCAGGCCTTCCTTAAGAGAATGAAACTGACCACGTGGAGAAGAAAGAAAATGATCCTCTCCTGGCTTGGGTTTTACCGACAAATCTGAAATAAAATAGCCACCTCACAACTCTTTAAAGATAACCTTCGAAAGATTTACCTCTAAAAGCTATATTTACTTTAAAAAGAGAAGTACATAATAACCAAAAGTATATGTATTATTTTACATTTCCACAACAGCATTTTCTTAACTATAGTCAGTGTTTAATGATTATTCTTCATTCAGCTTTCCATAGCAAGTAAAAATATGTCTACTTTGCACATAATTACTGAGCTGTTGGATATTTGTACTTCAGAGAGTAAATGTACATCAGTTTTTATATTTGTGAATTCATCTGTGGGAGGAGTAGAGAAAAATCCAAAAGTATTTAATGGTTAATGTGGTTTTCTTTTTTGTTCTATAAAGATTTGAAAATATATTTTTGTATTACTTTACTTGTTTGGAATTTACAGAACACATCTAAGCAATTAGGATATAACACAATTACCATTTTTGCAAATTTTTTGTTTTTTAAATCTTTTTATTTCTAAAAAAGATGAAAACTTTTAAATAAATTCTTTATTTGTAATTTTAGATAATTCTGTCTGTGCTTTCTTTATTTGGCTTTTGGGGAAAGACCATTAATGTCCACTCAAATCCTAAATTCATAATTATAATCAATCCAGGAGTTTTAGTCTTAAGGTATCATCTAGAATAAGAATTCCCTGTGATAGCATTATTATGTGAAAACTGAGTTAGACAACATAATGTTTCTTTAACAACCCTTTTTTTTTTTTTATATTTCTGACTGCAGTCTATAAATACCTGGGCTGCATATTGTTGTCACCTCTTAAAATGCTATAACTTTACATTACTATGTGATGCTTTGGCTTATATTAAGAGGTGTTGCAAGAAATTATCTCATAAGCCTTCCAATTGTATTCATGGGGAAGGTGAGAGATAGGATGCATGTATATCCAGAATGAGACCTCACTGAAGGAATTTCTCTGTTAGTACTGCAGACTTGGAGTTGCATAAGAGGACTAGGAACTTCAAACTGATTGTTCTTTCCAAGTTAGTTGCTATAGTCACTTTTGACAGTTTAGGGCATGCAAAATTTGTTATATTCACTGAGCCACATAATCTAGTGAGCACATCACTAACCATGTATGCCGTGCTCATTTTCATGTTCCGGTACTATTAGGTTCTTGGTTCCACAAGATAAATACACCTAGACAGAAGTCAGGGTCTGCCTTTTAAAGACAAGCCAGTCATCCTAGGCCCCACTGGGAACATATGCATAAGGCATATGTAGTACTACAGGTGTGTTCCTATTAAATGATAACCAAGTGCTGTGGACTAAATCTGTTTCCGTAAAGTTCATAATTAAATTCTAATACCCAGTATGATAGTCCTTGAATGTGGGGTCTCTGGGAGGTGATCAGGTCAGGAGGGTAGAGTCTTCAATCAATGGGATTAGAGTCCTACCTCTCCTGTTCGAGCATTCTGCTATGTGAGACCCAGCAAGAAGACAGCTCTTCTGCAAGAAACAAAAAGGGCCCTTACAGGAAGCAAATCTGCTAGCACCTTGATCTTGGACTTCCTAGCCTCCAAAACTGAGAAATAAATTTCTGTTATAAACTATCCAGTCTACAGTACTGCATTATCATAGCAGCCTAAACACATTAAGATGTTAAGTTCTAAATTTTGGGTGAGTAGGAGGAAGAATCACATTAGCCTGACTACTAAGTTGTATTCTATAAGTCAGTTTACCAGAAGTTCTGTATCTATTCCTCAACTGGTTGGTGGTTCTTGTAATTTTGAATGAGGGCTACTTAGCTTGTACAAGACTCTGGGTTCAATACCCACCAACACACACACACATACACACACACACATACACTGCTTTTTAAACTTGTACAGTTGGGTTCCTGTTGGCTTTTGCATTCCATCCTGGGATCCCAGGCCTCTTAAATGAGTTTACAATTTATATAATTGAGGTTTAAATCTTTGTGTTGCAAAGTTCTGTGGATTTTGCCAAATGTGTCATATCACGTATCCATCAATGCCATGTCATACAGAGTATTTTCACTGTCCAGAAAAAAATCTCCAATGTTTGCCCTGTTCAGCCTCCTCCTATCCCACCCCTGGCAGCCACTGATCTAGTTACCCTCTCTATAATTTTTCCTCTTCCAGTACTGGGGATTGAACCCAAGGGTACTTAACCACTGAGTCTCATTTCTAGCCCTTTTTATTTTTATTCCTTATTCCTTCTATTCCTCATTCTGAATCCTTAACACCTAGTTCAGATTTGAAAGTGACCTTAAATCTGTTTTGAAACACTGACAAAGGCAGAGCACAGTGGTATGCACTAGTGTGCAAATCCTAGCAATTCTGGAGGTGGAGGCCCTGGAAGTATTGCTAGTTCAAAGCCAGCCTCAGCAACTTAGCAGGATTCTGTCTCAAAAAGAGGGCTGGAGATGTGACTCAGTGGTTGAGCACCCCTGAGTTCAATCCCCAGTACTAGGAAAAAAAAAAAAAATCAACAAAGTATAAACCAGTCTTGGCTTGGCTACCAATATCTACTGCTAAATTAGTCACTATTCAACTGCCACAGTACTATATAACTTCTTTTTTTTTTTTTTTCCTTTTTTGATATATTCACTACCCTGTCAACCTTCCTAGATTAACATGAGATTCAAGTTAGAGACTGAAACGTTTTGTAAACTGTCAAGTGTTTATAAAGACAACAATATTCATATGTACTAAGGGAGGATGAAGAGATTGTCAAAGTCTTCCTACAAAGAGATGAGAATATCTTTTAAAACTGATTCAGGTATTAAATTTATGTTAAATCACTAACAATAGTGATGGACAATTTAATAGCTGGCAATTCTACAGAAATAATATCTACTAATATTAAAGTCTTTTATTGAATCCAATCAGAAGTACAGTTTTGTTTTTTAAAAATAAGATTAATATAGAAATAAAAGAAAAGTTAATTCTGTGACATTATATCTGGACCAACTTTCTGAATTGCAAAACAAATAACAAATATACAGTTCTCATTTTATAAAGTGGCTTTGGCCAACAAGTGAAAAATACATCATTCCTTTTGATCTCCTATAGGATCCCTGTAGTGTATTTCAAGTAAAGAATAAGAAAGATAAAGACTGTATCAAACTATGGAGCAACAAAAAGATTTACAGCAGAAGCACTGATTAAAATGATGAATGTCCCAAATGGTGGAAGAAGCCTTTTGACAGAGGATGCAGAAGGATTGGTTTCGGGACCTGGAACAGGACCTGGAACAGGAGCTGGAGCTGGAGCTGGAGCTGGAGCTGGAGCTGGAGCTGGAGCTGGAGCTGGACCTGGATCTGGACCTGGACCTGGAGCTGGAGCTGTTAATGAGAACACACAGTCACTGACACATCATTTTTTGGTATCAAGTATCATCATCTATACCATATATCCTGAATATGTAAATGCTATAAGTTAAGTTAGAAGCTTACTGAAATGCTTCTACTCGGGAACAATTTTCAAATAAATGTAGTTCTTAACAAATTTCAGGTTATATTCCTCTCTCCCACCCCCATCTCATATAAATATAAATATATATATATACACACACACACACACACATAGATCATCAGGTCATGCTGCTCTGGGTTTTATCTAAGGTTTCACAGGATTTAAAAGCCAAGATAATTTTTTAAGTTCTCTTTAATTTCTTAGAAATTTTTGTTTCTATTTTCTGTATATATATTCATGCAAAGTAAAGACTGTCTCTTCTATTTCAAACAAGACAACACATTTCACATGCATATGCAAACCGCTACCAGATAATAGCTTCCTTTTAAAGCATTGATTCTGCAAGCTGACAGAAAATAGTTTTTCCTCTACATATACATGGCTATAGAGAAAACTGCTTTCCTTGCATCTGAATTCTTATAGAGAATCAGTGGACTCCATCTACAGGATAATCCGTTTTATGCTGCTCTAAACTCAGATAATGGATTTAAGGTATGTTTTTTCTTTAAACAGACTGTACAGGGAAAGATTATCCCAAATGGGATAACCAGACTTCATAAGTGAAACCAAGAAAAAGAATTTTATAAAAGCCTTCATGTCACAGGGCGTGGTGGTGCATGCCTGTAATCCCAGCGGCTCAGGAGGCTGAGACAGGAGGATCGCGAGTTCAAAGCCAGCCTCAGCAAAAGCGAAGCACTAAGCTACTCAATGAGACCCTGTCTCTAAATAAAATACAAAAACAGGGCTGATGTGGCTCAGTGGTCAGGTGCCCCTGAGTCAATCCCCAGTACCCCCCCTCAAAAAAAGCCTTCATGTCAATTTATTTGCCATAGTTATAAACAGGCAGTTGTATGAGTAGAGACAGGGAAATAGGATAAACTCATGCATTAGTATGTCATCACAGAACAGTGGTTCTCAAGAGTATAGTAAGTCCTGAGAGGCAATCTGGACAACTGTCAAAGGGATTTTCTCTTTTATTCTTTTTTTTTTTTTTTTTTTTAATGTTGCTGGGGATTGAACCCAGGGCCTTGTGCATGCAAGGCAAGCACTCTACCAACTGAGCTAGACACCCAGACTGATTTTCTTTTTTATTGTTACACCAATGGGGTGCAGGTAGGAGGGCTAGATATGCTGAGATGATTAAGAGAGTTTTGCACAATGAAAAATCAACCTACTTCATGCCCAACTTTCAAATGCACTGCTAGACTAACATATGCAAGTTAAAAACCTATTTATAGTGATTAAATCCAGAATCTAAATCAGTTTTACATATAAACAAAATATTTTCAGATGGTTTTAATAAAAATAAAACATTTTTATCTAGTATCCACTGTGTTTCTTTAGTTTCATTTTCTTCTTACATAGAACAATTTCTAATCTCTTAAATTCAAATTTATTTGAATACATAAATGAAAACATCTGATTTCATTAAGCCTTTCAATATAAGCTAAGCATTTACATATTGAAATATGTTCTTTTGTTATAAATTACATTCAGGATATTATAATATTTTTTATGGGTATAAGTACATCTGATCTATGAATCTTATTTTAGGATAATACAAGGGCTTTGTACAATATTTGTTATTTAAAAAAAGGGTTGAAAAGATTTCAACTACTGTTTTAAAACAGCATAGTCTCCAGTCATAGCTGAAAATGATTTTTCAAGAAACAAAGTTGCCCCTATACATATTGTTATAATACCTTAAATTCTTGCAACTTCCTTTGATAAGAAAAATTAATTTCTCACTTTTTCTACATTGCAGAAACATTAATCAACAAAAGAAATGAGATATTTCTTACTAGGACTGTTGGTATTTCCTTGACTTTCATCTTCTAAAACAAAAAGAGATTTTGAGTTAATTGTATTATACATCTATTTATCTGGAAGGAAAAGATAAAAAAAAAAAAAAAAACAAGGTCCAATAAAGATTAAGCAAACTTGATTATCTCTGAGAGCAGGCAGGATTAATAAGTTTAGAAGTATATGGCAGGTTGCAGAAAAGTTTAGTTTTTACTCATTTATGCTCTTTGAAAAATTTCTCCATGAATATGCATTTCCATTAAAATAGAGGTTAAAATGTTGTTTACCAAAAAGGTACTTTTTCTACATACTGAACTCAGATTTTCCCAAGTATACCATTAATGATTTATTGTTTGTTATCTGTCAGGCGTAACAAAAATGCTTTATGTACATTACTTCTTACAATCCTAATAGGCAGGTATTGTTAGCCATATTTCACAGATGTTCTTTAAAACACCTGTGACATGTTTTGAGGTATGACATACCAAAAATCACAGAGGTTAAGTGGTAGCAATATCTGATTTCAAAACCTTTACTTTTAATCACTATTCTATACTATCTCCATGTGTGTGTCTCGCATTGAAATATTTCATTAGTTATTATATTTTCACAGTTTTAAAACTAAATTATAGGAGCTCAGGATAGAGAATAGAGGTGTATATCAAAATCTGTCTGGAAGACAAGTGTCAAGTGGCAGAAAGTGAACAAAACTTGAAACATTTGAGTCATGGTTGTCTCTTTCTAGCCTTTTACTGTTCCTATGTTCCACTTCCTCATCTTTGAAGTGACACTGGATTAAATGAGAACTCGTGAACTGTTTTGACATTGTCTTTTAAAAAGGCTGCACTGTACATAGTTTTAAAGGAGAGGGCACAATACAACACAGTCTCAGCAAAACCCAGGGTCCTATTTGTGAAATAAAGGAGAGTGTAGTGAGGAGCTCAATGTTAATATGCCATATAGTTGTCATTCACAGTTCTTTGATGATGCTATTCCTATGTCCATAGATTCCCTCCCTATTCCAGTTCACTCTGGAAAGCCTCCTGCCTCATTCTGGAACAGAAAAGCCCAGCTGGACAGTTAACTGTTCCAGTTTCAGGTCAAGCATCATTTTTCTCCTTGGCCCAGAGAACCTTAATAGCAGCCCACTGCTCACAATAATAAGTTCTCAACCTTCCCCTCCTCTGCCATTCAGAGAAGGATGTCAGAAACTGTAGAGCCCAAATATCTTCCCTAGACCCGCTTAAGCCTGACATAACTGAGTGATTACAGTGAAGGACTTAGAACCACATGGTGCCTCCACCCCCAGTATAGAATTTCTTACCTTTTATTTCATCTGGTTCTACCACTTTTATTCCTAAGTGAAAAAACATATTTTCAGTTAATAATTATTTACTATTTTATTATTTTTTATCATGTATTTTACTTCATTAGGTCCTAATTTACTCCCAAAAGACTGAAGTATCCTCATTTCACACAGGTAGAAGCAGAGACACACAAAAATGAAGTAACTTATACAAAGTTACCTAAAGGAAAGTGGCAGAGGAGCGACTTCCTGAAGCTAGGTATGTCGGTCTACACAGCCCGTGTTCAACCCCCACTCCCTGCTCAGTGGCCATCTTTCAAACAACCACAGTGTTACTATCAGACCCTGACGAAAGCATCAGACAAACTCAGGTCCACAAAGTGGAAGAGATAAGGACAGATGAAGTGTGTCATCAGTATCACTAGGGGTTCACTTTCAAATTGTGGCCAAACAAATCCATCAGTGCTAATCTTGGTTAGTACAAAAGAGTTACTGAGCCCGCTTTCTGAGCCTGTATCCATAACTGAACTGTGACCATGCTGTTTCTGCGCATGGCATGCAGTTTCAATAGGCAGCACTCAGTACTATGTGGTTAGATTTAATTGAGCAGATGCTGAAAATCTAATTTCTTTAACAGGTTACCATTGCCCTAATTAAAAAAAAAAAAAAAAAAAAAATAAAAAAAAAAATATTTTTTTTTTTTGGTAGATGGACACAAAAAAAACCACTTTTTAAAGCACTATAATGAACTCAGGAAAAAGGATTTTAAACATTAGATAGGGGATGGCACCTGAGATTTTATGGTTTGATAGTCCTTACAGATATTCCCATGAAGTAAATATGACACTTGAAAGATGACAATTTTGAGGCATAGAAGTGCCATTACTATCATAGCTCTCTGGTAAAATATCATATGTCCATTTTTTTTCTTATTATCTCAGGAAAAAACTTGAGGAGCTTTTTTCTTCCTCTGTACACATAAAGTTCTTTACACATAAAGTTCTGAGGTTCTTCTGAAAAACGTGACTGGAGTCACTGTTCACTTTCTCTGGCCAAGAAACTCAAGTTCCCTCAATAGCCTTGCCCTCAGTTATAGCTCTCATATTAAAAATGCTCATTTTTATAAAGGTTATTTATTCAAGGTATGTTAAATCTGTCATGGTAAATATGCTGGAAAAACACACTTGTGGAATCACAGGTATTTTCAGTGACTTTCAGTTTGTGCCAGTGAATATGATTTTCAAATTCTGGTCTGATGTATTCAAGAGATACGAGCCCCAAAGGTCTGACTGCACTATAGTTTCTGGCTTTTGACTGAAAAAATTCTGGCTCCATAAATTCTTATTGTACAAATCTACACCAAGCTTAGAGGAGCTTTTTGTCATAGCACTTCACTCAGTGTGTGTCCATGCCAGGAGAATACTGGGTTTTGTAACCTGGAGAACCCACATGATGAGTTGTTAACCAAAGCTAACAGCTTGTGAAAGAGCTGAAGTTTCTATTGAGTAACTTTAGCTGTAAAATCTGGAAGGTGCTGGCCTAGTGCATCCAGGTTCCAGCAACTTTGCTCTTAGCCAAGATCCCAACACAGCTAACTTCCTGCCTCGGAGACTGTTCCAAGAGCACAAGAACGCTGGAGAGGAAAGGTATTTTCTCTAACCCTCATCCCAGATACATTTTTGTAGGTGATTGACGCAGTCATAAGGGAATATTAGTGAACACTGCCTCATGATAATATTCTCTTTAGTCTAGGTAACCATTCTCACCTCATACTTGGGTTCAGACCAACAGAAAACTATCTTACCAGGTATTTCAGTGGATTCAAGGCTTTTCATACCTAAAGGAAGGAATGATTACTGATAGTGACAATTAATTACCTTGCATTGTTAATGTTCCCATCCTTTTACTACTTCCCCCAACAGCAGTAGAGGAAAAAAAAGAGGGGAAAGAAAAGAGAAAAAGAGAAGGAAGAGAATGGAAAAAGAAAGAAAACAGCCACAACAAAAGCACCTTTCAATGGTTCTCACTTTCCAACAGGATGAAGTCCAAACTCCTTAAGCTAGACTTAAAGAACTACCATGATCTACCCCTTATATCTCCACCTCATCTTCATAAGGCAGTCATATAACAACCATTTTTAAATGAAATATTAATGGGTTGAAGTCTCTGCTTGGTTTAGCTCCTGTCATTACAGTTATTAGTTCTATAATTTTGGGCAGGCTACTTATTTACATTAAAGTGGGAGTACTTTCTTATATCATTAAATGATTTTAAAAACAATTTTAAGCTTAGTGTTTCATAATGTATACATAATTTATTTAACAACACTCAACTGCTAAACACTAAGAATGTTTCTAAATTTTTGGTACTGTAATATCTGTGATGAAATATTTTTGTACACAATTTTTTGCGTTTATTTCTAATTTCTCTGGACAAATACCAAAAGTGTTATAACTGGATAAAAAGATAAAAACATTTTTAAGGCTAGTAATATACATACTATTAAATTACCCTACAGAAAATTTTTTCCAGGGGCTCAGGGGTGTAGTTCAGTGGTAGAATATTTGCCAAACATGCAGTAGGCCCTGGGTTTGATCCACAGAACCCCAAAAGAAAAAAAAAAAGGAAAAGGGAAGTCATTCTAATTTATAATCTCACTAGAAAATTATAAAAATAGAGTCCTCTCCCAGGACTCTTAAGAGCATCTGAATAATATCATTAAAAAATAAGCCAGCATGGTGACACGCATCTAGTCCTAGCAATTTAGTAGGCTGAAGTAGGATCACAAGGTCCAGGGCAGCCTCAGCAATTTAGCAAAACCCTGTCCACAAAATTTAAAAGTTAATTAATTAAACAAAAGGGCTGCAGATGTAGCTCAGTGGCAGATCATCCCTGGGTTCAATCCCCTATAAAAAAAAAAGTAAATAAATAAAACAGCTGGGTGTGGTAGCATATGCCTATAATTCCAAATACTGAAAAGGCTAAGGCAAGAGGATTGCAAATTCAAGGCCAGCTTAGGCAATTTAGCAAGACCCTGTCTCAAAATAAAAATAAAAGATCTGGGAGTATAGTTCAGTGATAGAGCACTTGCCTAGCAAGAAAGGCCCTGGATCCAATCCCCAGAATAATAGTAACTATAATAATGATAACAGCAACAACATTTAAAATAAAATAAAAAATTGGAGATAATGCTGTGGCATGTACTAATAATTAAATGGCTATAGCTAATAGCATCTATTATTGAGACTGCTAGAGACAGAAATAAATAGAGAATCATCATTTTCATTTAGAAAAAAAGTAATGCTATTTGTTATGCCCATCCAAAACTCCCAGTCACAAGAGTTCATGTAACAAATGTTCTCTATTTTCAGGAATTGCCTGAAGATTGTTAGACAAGAGACAAAACTGCTGAGTCATTTTTATAAAGAGATGCCAAACTAAGGCACTAAGCAGTGCTAAGGCTGGCACTGCCTTCTTCCCATTCTTCCTTACTATACAACATGCATGGCTGCTCACACCCGTAAAGTGAACTGCTGCAAAATGAAAGCCCCCAGAGTTCATGAAAGTGTCTTACCAGGGTCCTCAAGACTCTGGTTTTCTTTACCTAAATTACAAAAAAAGAAAAATCAGTTTTAATTGATCTAAATAACAAGAGATCAAAAGAAATAGGACTTACTAAAGCTACAACATAACTATTTTCAAGGAAGGCTGAGACAGGAGGATCACAAGTTTGACATTAATGGGGTAACTGAGCAAGACCTTGTCCAAAATAAAAATTTTTAAAAATTTGGACAAGATCCAAAATTAGCTTTGTAGTAAAGCATCTTCCTAGCATACGAGGCCTTGGGTTCAATCCCCAGCAATACACACACACACACACACACACACACACAAACTTATTTTCATGGTAGTATGGCTATAAAGAACCCCTTGGTATATCCGTAACTACTGCCACTGAATTTTAGTGTCAGCCAGAAACTAAATGTAACTTGGCTCTCTGGCCCTCTATATTAACAAAAACCAATATATATATTTATATATCCTAGTAGTCTCAAGAAAGCAGGAAAATGTCTGTTTTGAATTGTTAGCTAAGGTCCCTGTGAAGTGACCAGAATTTGGGACTGCAATAGGCCATTTAAGAGGGGTTGCTGCCAGTCATGGTGGCACACACCTTAATCCCAGCAACTTGGGAGGCTGAAGCAGGATAATAGCAAGTTCAAGGTCAGCTTCAACAACTTAACAAATCTTTTTTCAAAATAAAAGATAATAAGGGCTGAGGATGCAGCTCAGTGGTATAGCACCCCTGGGTTCAACCCCCAAAACAAAAAAGACAAAAAGAAAAGGGTCTATCAAGTCCATTAAGACAGGAAGTATCTTCCAGAATATGAAATAAATGGCATATTTAAGGAAAGGGTGAATTTTTCTCAAGATAAACTTATTGTAGCCACATGGGCCAAACACACAAGGAATGTAAATACAAATACATGATTTTATTGTATCTCCATTAATGGAAACTTAAAAAAATTTATAATCACCTGGATATTTTTAGTCAAACAATACTTGTCCAGGGGCAAAAAATTACAATGGAGTAGCATTGGTTTGGGGCACTTAAAATGGAGTTGGGAAGCCATGAATCAGATCCCAGGTGGAGTGCAGACATGACCACTCCTAGCTCTGAGATGACCTTTGAAACACTGTTAACCTCTACTGACCTTCTGTTAAGGTATCCCTTATCCCAAACTACCCAGAGAGTTCATGCCCATTTCCTCTCTTACAAAACAGTCTGATTATAAAACACCAATCACAGTTCCTAACAAGTATTTCTAATTTTCACCCTTCTTGCAGTTTAAAGCTATAAATTCAGCTGCCATTTTATAAAACCCTGGAGCACATTTTCAAGATTGCCTGAATCTGTTTTCCTGGTCTGTGATCCCATTAGTCCTGAATAAATGTAATTTAGATTTTATTCTCGGTGGACATATCACATGTCAGTATATTTCAGAGTTGCAAATACAGTTTTCTACTTACATTTGAATGTTGGCTTCACACAAGCTAATTTCAATGACTGACTATAGAGTTACAGCTCACAAACCTCCCAGACCAGGTCTTGAGCAATTAGCTTTTCAGATCTCATCACCCTATTCCTCAGAAAGTTTCTATATTATTCAGATCTCCAGAGCCATCTCTCTCTCACTGGAGGAAGGTAAATTTCCCCAGAATAGGTTTTATTCATCTAAGAATTCATTTGCTAAACTGGAAAGAGCCATTAAACATTCTTATATTATAATTTTATTTTTTAAAATTAAGAGCATACTCACTAGGGTTGTAGATGTAGATGGGCTGAAAATATTCTGAAATACAAATATGTTTTCATTACTTGCTATTCTACTCAGATGTGAATGTCAGTTTCAGTCTATCTTTAAATGATTACTAAAAATATAAAGATTTGAGTTGGCTTACATTCAAGAAACATAAAACATGGTTATTATAAGAAATATAAGACTTCAATCAATAGACAAATGGATGTGGGTTCTTTTTAATTACACAAAGAAGAGAAAAAGTAGCCAGGAAGGCATTTAGAATTGGACCCTTGTTTTCAAAACTTTTAATAAGGAAATCTTCAAAAGGACCCACTGACAGGATACATCAGTACAAGACATTTTCTGGCAACTTTGGTTCAAATCTATTAGACTTTTAATAATGCCATTCAAGAATACTCTTGGGGGGCTGGGCTCAGTGGTAGAGCGCTCACCTGGCACATGTGAGGCACTGGGTTCAATCCTCAGTACCACATATAAATAAATAAATAAATAAAGATATTATGTCCAACTAAAAAAAATTAGAAAAAGAAAAAAAAAAGAATACTCTTAGAATTTCCTGTCTACCTTCCCAAATCTTTCCTGACTTTCTTCTAAGAAACATTTTTTGTTACATCCTGTTTTTCCATGGCAAAGCGGAAACACCTCACTATTGTTCTGTCAGCCCATATTTTCCCTTTGAGCCATTCACTCCATTCATTAGTCTTCCAAATGTTATTTCCTAAGATATAGGAATGGGAGGAGTTTAGCTCTTTGCAGATGGGCAGTGACCAGAGATGCAGGGGCACTCTGGAGTCCTTAGGCTCCCATAAGGACAGGCTGGGGTGAGTGGCCTGTTTGCCTGAGGGCAAGGCAGTGTTTGAGAGAATAGCAAAAGCAAGAATGGGGGGGGCTGGGGTTGTGGCTCAGCGGTAGAGCACTTGCCTAGCACATGCAAGGCCCTGGGTTCGATCCTCAGCACCACATAAATAAAGATATTGTGTCCAAAATAAATATTTTAAAAAAAAGCAAGAATGGAGCTGGGGTGGGGAGTTACAGTAAAGGTGGAGCTCACCACCTGAGAAAATGATGGTTGACAGAACAGGAGCACCATGGTGGGAAGGATTTGACTCATACTTGTGAGAAACAACACTGACAAAATTCCATTAGAGAGAATACTTGAAAGCATATCTTACCTAAGTTCTCGATGCAATTTTCAGTTTTCAGTCCTGAAACAGAACGATTAAAGCTTTGTTACATATAATCTAAACTAGTAAAAATTTTAATTGATCGGTGGCTATTGATAATTTAGTCTGTCAATTCTTAGCCTATAACCCATAATTTTGTGGGATGCAAATGTGTTCTTAGAACAGCCACTGAACACTATATAACTTTTGACAAAATATCTGACCTTTCTGGAATTCAATTTCAGATAAGTCTGTATCTGTTATTGGGCAAAAGAGAATTAAGATTGTAGTGCTAATAATCCTGTGAATTAGCTGAACTTCAGAGAGGACAACTACCCTGCATTATCCAGGTGAGCTCAGTCTAAACACAAAAATCCTTAAAAGTATGAGAGGAAGAAGAGAGCATCAGAGAGAGGCAATGTGAAGAGGGCTTAACATACTGTTTGTGGTTCTGAAGATGGAAGAAGAAGGGCCACAAATTTAGGAATGGCAAGTAGCTGTCATAAGCTAAGTAAGGCAAGGAAACATTCTTGCCCAAGATTCTAGAAAGGAATGCAGTTTTACCAACACCTTAATTTTAGCTCAGTTAGATCCATGTCAGACTGCAGAAATGCAGAATAAATAACAATCATATATAGGTATATATAAAACAATATAACAGACATTAATAACAGAATTTAATGTTACATAAATATTAAATAAATACATAATTTACATAATGAATATTTATAATATATCTTATATATAATAAATATCTAAGATAATAAAGCTTTGATATTTTAAACCACTAAATTTGTAATTTTTTTACAGAAGCAACGGAATACATGTACACATACATAAAAACAGAAAATATCTAAAATGAAAGAGGAAAAAAACTAAAACAAAAATAATAGAGACTCACTGAATTATGGAACGACTTTAAGAAGCTCACTATAAATAAATAAATAATAAGTAAATAAATCATTTAAAGGGAAGAATAGGCTAGGGGTGTGGCTTGGAGGTAGAATGAGTGCTCAGCATGCACTCAGCCCTTGATTTTATCCTCAGCAGCAGCAGCAACAACAACACACACACACACACACACGCTTGCCCATACATGAAAAACAAAAGAGGAGTGAAAAAATATTTGAAGAAACAACAGCCAAAACTCCCCAAAATCCAATGAAAACCACAATCACACAAATCTTCTATCTTTAATAATAAAAAACTCAAGAGACAGTAAGAAAACAAGCCACCCCATTAAAAACGGGCAAAATATTAGAACAGATACTTAACTATATATATATAAATGGCAAATACATACATGAAAGGATGTTCAACATTACTACTCAATAGGAACATGCAAGTGAAAAAACATATCTTTTTGGAACTATAAAAATGAAAATGACATAGCATACTAAGTGTTGGCAAGGATGTGGTAGAATTGGAACTCTTATTTAGTCCTGGTAAGGATGTAAAACTACTTTGGAAAAATACTTTGGCAGCTTCTTTCAAAACTATACAAATACCTACCATATAATTTAGCCAACATACTCCTAGATATTTATCGAATGGTAATGTATGTATATATCCATACAAAGAATTATAAAGTTAACAAATGATTTATTTGTAATAGCCCCAAAGTGGAAACAATCTAACTTTTCTTCAACAGTTGAGAGTATACAAATATATTGTGTTGTATCCAGGATTCTATAATAGAATGTAAGGAACTATTGATATATGCAGCAACATGAATAATCTCAAAATTATTATTATGCAGAATGAAAGAGGCTATGCAAAAAAGAATATGATAGTACTTGAATGAAATTCTAGAAAGTACCAACTAATATTTATGGTCAGAAAGTAACCTGTAGCAGGGCTGGGGTTGTGGCTCAGTGGTAGAGTGCTTGCCTAGCATGAGTTTTAAAATTTGATACTCCGAATGCTACCAAAGGATATTTCAATGCTTCAAAAGAAACACAGTCACACTTGTTATCTGTCTGGACACTGAGTGAACTACTAGCTTGGGTAGAAGGCAGTTTCAGTTATATGTTAAATGTTACCTATCATGTTACATTCTGTTTGATGTCATCATATATTCGCAAAGCTGGGTCTTAAGCAATTGTGATAAAAGGCAAGTATATGTGGAAAGCAATGTGGAACATGAAATAAGATAGTATTTAATCTGATTCCAAGATCTGAGAAGCTGTGTGCAGTGTCTAACAGGCACACACCTCCCATCAGCAAGTTAAATGTGGTAAAGAATGAAATAATCACACTTTATTGAAAAAGTAAGTGTAGCATTTTTATAACAATTACTAAAATATTAGGATATACTTACTGAGTTATTTGTATTTACTTAATAAACAGAAACTTTTGTGTATTTGTTTTAACCCAGGGACATGGAAAAAAATTGTGACTAAGCATCATGAACTGAAAAAGTTTGAGAACCCCTGCATTAAACACTGCACTAGACTTATCTACAACTTTACCCAAACTACTGACTCAATGGGTGCCTTGCTTACAAGACTTGATACATGAAAAGACAACATAGTTCACTGATAAAACAGCCTGCCCCAGGTTGGGCAAATCCAGTGGAATGTTGCATTCATTTGTTGTAGTGATGTAAATTGGTCTTTGCCTTGGATGCTCTGTGGGATGAGGGGAACCTCAAAAGAGCATCCTGGAAGGGATACAATACTTTGAGAGTGAAACACACTTATATTGGCTCATGTGACAACACTAATACCTTAACTGTAATGGTAAGGCTACTGGGTCACTCAGAACTGGATTACTAAAGATAAATCCATACTCAAGTATCTCTATATGGTGTTTCCAATGCAGAAAATATAACTTGTGATTTCAATCTTATTTTACTCACATATATAAACATGAGTGATAGAAATCACCTGGGAACTGACAAAGCAGATGAGGTATATGTGACCATCGTCTCTATTATAGCTTATGAATCTATAAGCAAATCTACCACAGTAAGAAAATCATTTATAAGGACTAGGACTTCAAATGAAAAATTCTACCAGTCTTCTCAATGAGATTTCTCCAGGGCTGTCTGCTCTGACTATCTTCAGTTACTTATAAGCTGTAAATAGCCATCCTAATTTACCTTGGTTGAGTTCCCAAGCACCAAGGAATCACGAGTTGAAGAAAGAAGGGAAGTGAAAGAAGAATATACTTATGTAGGTATGCTTGCTCTGACCTCAGTATTTTGGTGGATATAAAACTGGCTTTTACTACAATAAAAGAATATATTTCCTGTAACCTCAGCAAAGTACAGATCATATTAATCTGATAAAAACACTAGTTTATGAAATTAGAGGCTTACTTTGCTTCCAGTGGCTAATTTTCTCTTGTTCTCAGAGGTCAACACAGAATTCATCATCATGGGAAAAGGACAACCAAACTGGATTATCCCCAAGAGGAGGTGACAAGACTGTAATGGATTGGACTGGGATTAAGGTGGCAGCTTCTGACATGGCTATCAATGATCCTGTCTCTTGGTATTCACACTCCTTTGTAATCTTCTTCCCTTGAGTGTGGGCTGAACCTAGTAACTTGTTTCTAGCAAACAGAATGCAGCAGAAGTGATGATCTGACACTTCCATGGTTAGGTTGTAGAAGTGTAACTTGTTGGTACTCTCTTGCTCATCTGATGAAGCAAGTTGCCTTGTTGTGAGATGCTCTATGACAAGATCTATGCAACTAGGAACTAAGGAAGACCTCCAGCCAACTACTCATGAGGAACTTTGGTCTTGTTTGAACTCATGAAGGACTGCACCCTGCAAACAGCCATGTGAATAAGCTAAGAAACAGATCCTTTCCAGTCAAATCTTAAGATGATTATAGTGTCCACCTAAGTATGCCTGGATTCCTGACCCACAGCAACTGTAAGATAATAAATGTTGTTTTAAGCCACTAAGTTTTGGAGTAATTTGGCATTCAGAGGATGACTAATATAGGCTTAGGTTCTGTTTTCTATATCAACTTGTCTAGGATACAGTTAGTCCTCAGTTATTCAATAAAACACTAATCCAGTTGTCATAATGAATGTGTTTTGTAGATATGACTAAAGTCCACAGTTGGTTAATTTTGAGTAAGGTAGATCACCCCAAATTACTGTGCAGGCTTGGTTCAATCACACCTGAAAGGCTTTAAGAGAAGAGGCTTTCCAAAAGAAGAAGCTCTGCCTGTGAACAGAAGCATAAGCTCATGCTTGAGTTGCTTCCAGCCTGTCCTTCGCCCCACCCTGCCTTGTGGATTTTTAGAATTGACTTACTGGTTTCTTAAAAGTGTAAGCCAATTCTTTTAGCAATACATTTCTAAATAAATATTTCCTGCTGATTCTGTATCTATGGTTGAACCTTGACTGATTCAACAGTGATAAATGAATCTGGTGGGTGAAAGTCTAAAAGAATTGTTGGTAAGCAGTCTTCAAATTCTTCTAAGTATTGATTCATAGTGGTGAACTGGATATGTCACTTACTCTGTGGTATTGGATATGTTCTTTCTTATTTGTTTTAGCTACATGGATTGATATTCCAACCCCAGACATTCTTAGAAATTAGAGGCTTACTTTGCTTCCAGAAATTTTGCCATTCCAAGGAAATGCTAATGGGTATCAATCAGAACCAATAGAGATACATACATTTATTAAGCTCTCAGAAGCTGCAGGTGAATTTATAAGAAATAAGTTGGATAGCCCCATGGACTCATTTTCTTTCCCCCTTTAGATGTCTTAACAGAGAGCTGGCTTGACAGGCCTCAGTAAGCTCAATAAAATACGCTAAAATAGCCATTGAAGTCCAGAGGCATATTCTTTCTAATGAGGCCACTTTCCCAACTGGGGAACATTGATATTCTCTAATCCCCAAGCTCTGTAAATATATAAATCATTATACCAAGATTACCCCTCATTACAGAAACATTGGCCAAAATACCATATCATCTATGCCAACCCTTCAGGGGATAATATTGCTCTATAAATCTTTCTCCTGATAAACGTGTTATGTTTGTATTGTAGGGAATCCAAAAGCTATTGCTTTCCT